TGCAAACTGTTCGCAGAGTCTGCGCGCGCACTTTCATTGGTTTTCAACGCGTTCGCCAAACTCGACCAAACGGGCCTATCGCGCGCACGTCGAAATCATTCGAACGCCCTCGCGCGCATGCCGGGGGGAAGGGAGGCGCGATGCGTGTCGAAAGACACCGTGCGGGCCACTCGCGCGCGACGGCCGCGCGCGCATGTCGAAGCCCTCCCAACACCTTCATCGCCGACGCGAGGAAGCCATCATCGCCATCGGCGTGACCAGCATCGGCGCCGTCCTTGCGGACGCCATCGTCATCATCGTCACCATCGCCGCTAATATCACCATCGTATCTACCGTGGTCGACGTCGACACGGCACCGCGCCCACCCAAGTCACCGACTCACACTGAAGTGGCTGCGGTTCAGCGCGGCCTGCGAGACGCGCTGGGAAGTGTCCAGCGGTCAGCGCCACCGCGGCCGCGTCGGTCGCGCCAAACTAGCTGGCACCTACGCGCGCGAGCATGCGCAGGCTAGCGCAACCGCAGAGATGCACCAGCCAGCACCAAGTACTCATTGTAATCCCCGCTGCAAGGGCTTGCAAACCAAGTTGCGGCACGTTGGGTGGGATGGTTGCTCGAGCAGTAGGGTCGGCAACTACATGGCGCTCATAAAATGTTGGGCCACATCGATTCAACCCTATCGTATTCTAGAGCACGCGCTTTGGCTCCGACGCTCGCTAGCATGTAGCAATAATCACATGTCCATGTTTCGATGCTGTCCGCGTTAAGCCGCGCGTGCCGTTCGCATCGCGAGTCAAGTAAGAAGAAATAGAAAAGACGATCCGCAACCCTAATCGAACGGGCGAAGGCTGATGCTGCACTATGCAGCGGTGTGCCGCTCAGGCCAAAGCATCAGGCCAACAGAACTGTGGTAGCAAATCACCACATGGGACGGCACCTGCACGTGATGCCTGGCCACTGCCGAACAGACGATGCAAACACGGGGGATGCAAGGAAAAGGTAAAGGTAAAATGGGAGAGAAAAGGAAAGAGAGAGGATGGTGATAACGACCTGGACAGTGTCACTCCCACTAATTCGCGTGAGGTGTGCGACTGAAGTCAAGGAAGATGAAATTGAACCGCGCCACTCGGTAGGAAAATCCACGCGAATGCCAGCAGCACTACAATTATACAGCGAAGCGCACTATATGATCAGAAACCAAGTTTCTATCGCGCTGCAGGTGGGAGGAAGGAGAAAAGAAATGAACACGCCCACACATGTCTTAAACTATAGCGTAAACGTGCCGCCCCACCCCCAGCGCATATGGCTCATCGGGCTAGCAGGGCTTCTATGGCCGATCAGGCTTGCTTGATTTTGGAGTCCCGAAGCGGTGCGGTGACGGACCGTGCGGTGACCTCGAAATCCCCCAAGACCTCACCGCACGGTCCGTCACCGCACGGTCTTGGGACCCCGGAGACCCCTGTCGCCCGAGACGTCCTCGGAGAGGGCCTCGAGTCCCAAAACCGTGCGGTGACCCCGAATCCCCACCGACTCACCGCACAGTGTGGTCACCACCTCGTTTGGGGGCCCCCGATTGATATACCGCGGCAAAACTGGGGCAACAATCGGGACAACCAACGGGGCACCCATCGGGATAACCATCAAGACAATCATCGGAACCACTGCCGAAAGAACTATCGGGGCAATCACCGGGACAACCATAGGGACAACGACGGAACAACCGCGGGACAACCGCGGGGGAACCGCGGGACAATCGCTGACAACCGCGGAACAGCTGCCGGCCCGATTCTCCAGAGGAGGGGCTCTTGCTCCGAATGCGCCATGCCAGTAGAGAGAGCACTCCTCTCGTCCGCGCACGCAGCTCCGCCTCGCCCGCACACGCAGCAAGAGAACGAAACCGAAACTGATTTTACGGTGGGGGTGTCTGGTTCAAATCGATATCATCCCCCGGACCCCGTTAGTGTTAGGTTCGTGAATTGCGACTACAGGCGGTCCACGATCACTTCGGGCCAAAAAACCCAAACCAGAAAAAAAACACCAGGAAATCTTGAAACCAAAACCTGGGGAGGTCGACATCCTGAAAAAAACTCAAACACCGAACCTGCGAAAAACTCAAACCCACAAAAACATACGAAAAAAACGGAAGGTCAAACCTGGGAAAAACTCAAACCAAACACAAACTCCAGAAAATCTCTAAGCCGAAACCTGGGAAAAACTGTGGAAAAGCTGTGGAAACAACTCTGGAAAACAAAAACTTTAAAAACACTCTAAAAAAATCTGGAAAAAAACAATGTACAAAAACTTTGAACGACTGAAAGCTCTAAAAAACTATGGATAAACTCTGGAAAAAGTCTAAACGACTGAAAACTAAAAACAAATCTGGAACAACTGCTGGCAAAACTACGGAAAAACTCTGGAAACACTTTTTTAAACTCTAAAAAAAACCTTCCGGGTTTGATTTTTTTCCGGGTTTCCGCTTCAAGTTTGTTTCTAAGTTTTTGTTTAAGGTTTCAGTTTTTCCCAGGTTTCGGCTTCAAGATTTCCTGTAGTTTCTTCTGTGTGTGAGTTTTCCCCAGGTTTTGTGTTTGAGATTCTCTCAGGTTGTCTTGGATTTTGAGTTTCCCATTCAAGATTCTTTAACATTTTTTTGGAGTCTGAGTTTCCGGCCGAAGGTGTTTTGAAGATTTGGGCAGGATTTCCGCTGGACCGCCTGTAGTCAATTCGCGAACCTAACGTTAGTGACTACGCTTACGTTGCTCCTGTCGTATTTACGGACCACATCCCACAATAGTTACGAGCACCCAGAAAAGTGCCAAAACAGTGTCGAACGAGTATCGCCTCCCAGGGCCCCACACGTTAAAACCTTCGATACTTCCCTGGTGCTCGAAGCTACCTCTGGGCTAAAATAAGTTGAAACAGCATAGGGCAACGCAGGACAACTAATCCCATCGCACGGTCGGCGGGAATCTGACATGCGATAAAGCTTGAATGGCAGAACAGCGCCAAAAGTAAACGATTCCCTTGTGCAGTGGTTGCGCCATCGCAGCACGCAGGTGTCTCACGCCATGGCACCGTGGGGAAAACGGGCAACAAATAATCAGCAGTCGTTGCACCATATGAGTACTGTCGAGCACTCAAGAATATGTAATAGTAGCCATGTCTAGGCGCGCTCACTTGACAGCGGTGCATAGCTAAGCATGCCCGCGCGTGCTGGAGTACTCATGGGCGCGAAGATTCAGAAAATATGGCCTCGCCATCTTCAGTGACTGCCGCACGTACCAGACGTGCGTCCGACTGGTCAGCCACAAAGGCAGACCACATTTGGGAACTCCACGCGTATATTCGGCAACCATGGCGTCTACCACAGATAGGGCTGATGAGCTACGGGGTGGGGGATCTGCACAGAGATGTGGAAGAGTATGCGGGGACAGCAGGCGGCCACAACCACAGCGAGGACGCACCCTGGGGGATCTCTGGGGCGTGCCCACGCTCGGCAGGACACCAGAACCAGGATGCCGATGTCGAGGTCGGCGGGTTCTCCCCCGAGGGACCCTCCAGAAAAATTCACTCCGTTGCGGTTGTGAGAGCAATTATCGTGTTGGGAGGAAGGGGTTGGGAGGACGAAGGGAATGAGCAATAGCATCTGGGTGCAATGAACAATGCCTTCGGCCGCCTGCGGGTAAGGATATCCTTACTTCTCCCAACCTCGCCCTCCCAACACGAGGACTGTCTCCCTGACTCAAGGGGCCCTCCAGAAAAATCCATTCCGTTGTTCGGGGGCGCGCAAGCCTGGATTAGCGATCCATGTATTTGGCGCGCGGTCGCCGAATCCATGGATCAGGGGAGGCGCCCTCCCCAAAATGCGGCTGGTGCCGCCTCGCTCGGCGGCGAAAATCAACGATGTCCCATGGAAACCGGACCCGTCGCTAACCCACGCCCCCTTAATCCATGTTTGCGCCCGCAAAACACGAGGCTGGGAGGGGCGGAGAGAACACGCACTGCGAGCGGGTGGAGGTGGAGCGGCAAACAGAGGGGGGGCGAGGAGGGAAGCCGCGAGCGAGGCAGGGGAGTACGAGGAACGGAGGCAAGGGGGACCCACCCCTAGCGTTAGGTCGGGCGTGTCCCCCTACAGGCGGATTTTGCGTGAAAACAACAAACCATATTCAAACATAGTGAAACATAAAGGAAGATCGTCCTCATACGATTTCTTCACTATGTTTTGATATCCTCCTGTAGGGGGACGGGCCCGACTTAACCCTAGCGGCCTCCTGGACGGGGTCCGAATAGGATCGGAGGATCGCCGCGCCCTATCGCCGATGCATAGGCGACGTCGTCGTGGAGAAAATTGGGCTCCACATCGAGCCGCATCGCCGATGCATAGCCGATGCATCGGCGATGCAGCACGATCCTCCGACCCCATCTGCTCGGACCCCGTCTAAGAGGCATTGAGGGACCCTCCCCATAACGATGAGTCGGCGGCGAGCGAGGGGGGGGGAAGTGGGGAATTGAGAAGGGAAAGGCCTTCTCAGAAGGCGGCGGGGCTTCGCAGAAGCCCTCGCGCCTTGTGAAACCAGAAGCTTTCTGTGTCCTCGGGGAAGGCTTGAGGAACTTCTCAGAAGGCTGGGGGGTTGTCCGGCCTTCTGAGAAAAGGCCCGCCCCCTCTCTGATGGGCTTGTTTTCCAGCGCCACCACAATAAGTTGGAGGGGGGAAGGAGGTGGAGGACGAGGAGGAGGAGGTGGTGGAGGAGGAGGGTGAGGAGGAGGTGGATGAGGAGGAGGACCCCCTCCCCCTCCAACTTATGGTGGTGGCGGCGGAAAATTCCCCCATCACTCTCACTGCCCCCCCGAGCTGGCCGCCAAGAGAGGAAGAAGACAAACGTGGGGACATCGGGTCCCCCGCGTGGAGGGGACGGGGCGGCGGCGCGGGTGGGAGCGCTGGTGGTGCGGAGAGCAGCCGGGAGAAGGGCAAAGAGAGGAGAAAGGCACGTGCGAAGGCGCCTCGCCTCGATGTCCTCTTCCGAAGGGAGGGCCATATTCTCTTCTAGGATCCTGTGCATCTGCTGGAAGTGCCTCTCCTCGGACATCTCCATCGAGACCGACACCCTGATCGGGGGACCGACGCTGCGCGGCCGAGTGGCTGGACTGGCAGGTGTGTGCGGTGAGGACGGAGTACGAGGAGGGCAACTTCGCGCCGGCAGGGGGGGATGGGGCAAATGCTGGTGGCAATCCCTGTAGCCCAACCCACGACTGGGCTGAAGGAATACAGGGTCCTGGTGGAAATAGGGTCACGGCTCTCGGGGTTACCCCAGGGATCAAGCTTTCACCCTGAATGCGTTTTGACGGCTTCGTGGTCTTGGGAAGATCCAGGAGCCGAAAATTGCGAAAAACTTCCTCCAGGTCACTTCTCGTGCAAGAACCCTCCTCTTCATTGTGAACGTACGCGGTCGAAGGTCAGAGAACTCCACTCTCATCCGGTGTAGCATTTGTTCCTGGTGTGGCCCCCCCAAGGATCTTGCCAGGGGGAGGACGGAGAAGAAGACAAGGAGGAGTGGGACCAAGACGACAAAGACGACGACGACGACGACGACGACGACGACGACGACGACGACGACGACAACGGCGGCGGCGGCGGCGGCGGCGGCAGCTGTGGCGGTGCCATCCTTGAAACTGTCGCATTCTGGACACCCCCAGATGGGAACAATGGTGCAAGGACTTTCGGAGGCCACACCTAGACCTTTTTGCAACAAGACTGAGATCTGCTTCCCAATCAGCGCTTGCACTGAAGAGGTCCTAGCGGAGACTGGGACGAAGTCCGCCACCGGGCCGCTGGGAACGGAGGTGGCGCGTCCTCAAGTCATGTGCCCAATCCTCTGAGCCTCAATCCTCAGTTCTGCGAAGTCAATGAGGGGCCCGGACCGAAATTTCCGAAATCTCTTGGGGTTTACCGCGAGCCCCCCCTGAGCTCCCCCGCACCTTGTTGCGTGGCTTCTTCGGGTCCAAGAAGGCCCTAAGACGGGCCAAGAGAGCCTCAAGAAGCTTCCCAAGACGGTCCAAGAGGGCCCCGAGTCGCCGAAAGATCGTCCCGAGACGCGCAAAATGGACCCACGACTGTTTAAGAGGGCCCCAAGACGCCCCAAGAGGCCTCGAAGAGGCCCCCCAAGAAGGCTCCAAGAAGCCAACATCCTTGATGTTCTAGAACGTTTTTTTTCAGGTTTGTAGTATTCTCACCGATTCGGCTTCTCGACGCTCGAAGGCTGCCCACGCGGCCTCCAAGACCGCCCCAAGACGGCCCCCAAGAGGCCGCCAAGACGCCCCCCCAAGAGTCTCCCAAGATGCCCCAAAACTGCTCCCAAGAGGCTCCCCAGAGCGCTCCGAAGAGACCCGAAGATGCATACTCTCTGACCCACAATCCAGGCACGGTGGCGGGATGGGCCGAAGGCTAGAAGATGGGTGGGCGGCTGGGTTTCCGCTTCCTGGCCGATTTCAGTGGGCGAACTGTTTCCTTCATTCCTACTTACAGAGTTCTGGGCGCTGTCAGGTGGCGAGGACCTCGATTTCTCGATTGCGACCAAGTGCCTGGGTTCTTGCGGTCATGGTCAGAATGAAAATGATACTCGCCACCGTGCATGCACAGAGAGGGCACGTTTGAATGATTATCGTGTGATTAGGCTTGCTTTCCAGCGCTCGGTTCGGCCTTCAGGAGGCTCTCGTTGCCTCCAGGATGGCATCCAAGACAGCCAAGATGACACCAAGACGGCTCAAGGTGGCCCAAGACACTCCAGAGGCTCCCAAGACGGTCCCAAAACGGCTCGAGAGGCTTCCAATACGGCCAGAGAGGGCTCCGAGAGGCCCTCCAGGAGAGCCCGAGGAGGTAAAACACATTGATGACCTGGGTGATTCAAGGACTATGAGGTTCCCACTTGTTTGGACTTGCGACCGTCCAAGATGACCCGGGAAGCCTTTAAGATAGCTCCAAGACGGCCCCAGAGGCCTCCAAGATGGCCCCAAGTCGGTCCCAGAGGACCCCAAGATCACCCAAGAGACTCTCACGAGGGCGCTCAGACAGCCCTAAAGCGCTCCAGGAAAGCACCAAGGCGGCCTAGAGATGCCCACAAGACGACATCCGAAGACTCCGAAGACGTCAAGCGGGCCAAGAGCGTCTTCAAGACTACCCAACATGCCCCAAGGAGGCTCCCAGAAATCCCGAAGAGGCTAAACCCACTGGTTATCCAACAATGAGCTTATACGGTGTTAAGGCTCTCAACTGTTTCGGTATCCGACACAAGACGGCACAACAAGCCTCCACGGTACGCCAAAGACGGCAGAGGAGGCTGTCCAAGATGGCCCCAAGTCGGCCCCAGAGGACCCCGAGATCGCCCAAGAGCCTCCCAAGAAGGCCCCGAGACGGCCCTGAAGCGTTTCAAGAAGGCACCGAGACGACCCAGAGATGCCCCCAAGGCGATCCCGAGGAGGCCCCAAGAGGCACCTGACGAGGCGAACACACATTGATGTCCCGATGGTGGTTTACTGGATTTGAGGTTCTCGCCTGTTTGGGCTCCCGACATCCAAAAACGGGTCACGAGGACTCAATATAGCTCCAAGACGGCCGATGATGCCCCAACATGTCCCCAAGTCGGCCTCAGAAGACCCAGGATCGCCCAAGAGCCTCCCAAGAGGGCTCCAAGACTGCCCTGAAACGCTTCAGAGGGGCACCACGACGGCCCAGAGGGCACCCAAAGCGGCCTCAAGAGTGGTCAGACGGGCCAAGAGCCCCCTAAGGCTGTCCAAAAGGCCCCACCCAGGAGGCCCCCAAGAGGCTCCAAAGAGCCCCACAAGAGGCCCCCAGCAGACTCCCAACCCAGGACGCCCCCAAGGAACCCCTAGTCTTCTACTCTTGGTCTGCGTGTTCTCCATCTCCCCTCCTCCTCCCCCTCCTCCTCCTCCTCCTCATCCGCATGTCTTCATCCTCCTCCTCCTCCTAGTCGCCGTCGGCACTCGAAACCAGAGAACCAACCATGAAGGAAATGTACACAACATAACTTTACCAGACTCTTGCCTTACTGCTCGCAGAGGCCAGGGAGGAGACACGGGATTCCGACACATGTGTTTCTCTTCTCGCAGCGACTGTGGACACTTCTTACCAGAACTTTCTGGCCGCCGCTCCGAACTAGAGGCTCGACGAGATCAGCCAGGAACTGCGAGGATGAGACGTGCTAGCACGCACAGGTAAACAGTAAACACACATCGGCGGGACCAGGACCAACACAGACGACGTATCTGAGTCACCATTAGGCAGTGACCTTCCTTGTGGCACGAAGCATCGACAACAACGACCCCAGGCGCATCTATTGACCCGCCAGGAGCAATGCAAGGAAGGGTTGCCAGGTTAACATTGGCGAGTGTAGAAGTTGCTGTGACTCGATTTGCGACACACCTACCACCGACCTACTACAGCAATTACAACAAAAGATCACAAGCCATACTATGATGGGTGGAGGGGTGCGGTGACAAGGTAGCATGCAAATCAACGGTTGCAGTGGGAGGACACATTCACAGCCGGCTGAGTCTCCACAGAGGGCGGGAAGGATGGACCGAGAGAAGTAGGACACACACGAGTGGACAATGGGCGAAGACGCTCGAACAATACAATGGCAAGGCCTTCCGCAGATTCTGTGAACGGAGCGAGTTGGCGATCGCGGAGGCACACTACGACATTGGGCCCAAATACTGCAGTACACAAGGAACGGCTAGTTGCATTGACCGCATTGCAATACCAGTGGCAGTACTACAAGTGGTGAAGAGATGTGTCACCCACTGAGCTGGTGCGAATCACAGTTTCAGGTCATAAAAATAAAGGACGCAGAAATCACATTCCCGTAGGTATTGTGCTCGGAATCTGACCAACACAACCATTCCCCCCACCCAAAGGAACCAGGAGACCAGAGGGAGAAATAGACGGGCCTGATACCGTCCTGCCTCAGCGTCGACAGCAGCTTGGACAGGGCCCGAGCGCTCGTGGAGTCGATGCCGTTGACGAGGGTGAGGTCCATGACGACCCACTGCCTCGAGATCGATCTGCGATGCGAGCAGAGATCAGACGAAGCCAGGAAGAGGATATAATCGTGTGATGATGAATCGAGAATATCTGAGATCAGGCGGCTCTGGAGGATGTCTTGAGCACCGCGGCCTTCTCAGAGCGTTGCGGAACGTTCTGAAAGCGTTCTGGACCGCCTTGGAACGGATGTATCCTCGTCCTGGCCCCGCCCGAAGAGAACAGAGAAAACATCTCAAGAATAAGCACGCCGACAAGCGACGCCGATTCGTGAACGCACTCTGGGCAAGAATGGAGCAAGGCAGGGCTATTTGGTAAACGGCCAGAACGCCAATTATTACCTAACAGCGAAGACTGATAGGTTTCTAATGGGGTCAAAAAAAAACATCTGATGACTCCCCAGGGGGGTCTGGGCGGGAGCCGGACAGGCGAGAACCGGGCTCGTTTTAAGCAAACAGTCACACACTCCGTGCTCTTCGACCTCCCCGAACTCCATTCCTGGGCCACATTTTGAATGCCCGGAGCCAACTGTAAGCCACTTCGTGCTCTTCGACTTCCCAGAACTCCATTCCCGGGCCACATTTTGGATGCCCGGAGCCAACTGTAAGCCACTTCGTGCTCTTCGAGTTCCCAGAACTCCATTCCTGGGCATGATTTTGAATGCCCGGAGCTTACTGTAGGCCACTTCGTGCTCTTCGAGTTCCCAGAACGTCATTCCTGGGCCACATTCTGAATGCCCGGAGCCAACCGTAAGCCACTTCGTGCTCTTCGACTTCCCAGAACATCATTCCCGGGCCACATTTTGGATGCCCGGAGCCAACTGTAAGCCACTTCGCGCTCTTCTCCCAACTCCATTCCTGGGCATGATTTTGAATGCCCGGAGCCAACTGTAGGCCACTTCGTAATCTTTTCGTGCTCTTCGAGTTCCCAGAACTCCATTCCCGGGCCACATTTTGAATGCCCGGAGCCAACTGTAGGCCACTTCGTGCTCTTCGAGTTCCCAGAACTCCATTCCTGGGCATGATTTTGAATGCCCGGAGCCAACTGTAGGCCACTTCGTGGTCTTCGAGTTCCCAGAACTCCATTCCTGGGCATGATTTTGAATGCCCGGAGCCAACTGTAGGCCACTTCGTGTTCTTCGAGTTCCCAGAACTCCATTCCCGGGCCACATTTTGAATGCTGAGGCAGGCTGAGGCTGAGGCTGAGGCAGGCTGATGCTGAGGCAGGCTGAGGCTGAGGCTGAGGCTGATGCAGGCTGAGGCTGAGGCAGGCTGAGGCTGAGGCCGAGGCTGAAGGCAGACTGAGGCTGAGGCTGAAGCAGGCTGAGGCTGAGGCTGAGGCAGGCTGAGGCTGAGGCTGAGGCAGGCTGAGGCTGAGGCTGAGGCAGGCTGAGGCTGAGGCTGAGGCTGATGCAGGCTGAGGCTGAGGCAGGCTGAGGCTGAGGCCGAGGCTGAAGGCAGACTGAGGCTGAGGCTGAAGCAGGCTGAGGCTGAGGCTGAGGCAGGCTGAGGCTGAGGCTGAGGCAGGCTGATGCTGAGGCAGGCTGAGGCTGAGGCTGAGGCTGATGCAGGCTGAGGCTGAGGCAGGCTGAGGCTGAGGCCGAGGCTGAAGGCAGACTGAGGCTGAGGCTGAAGCAGGCTGAGGCTGAGGCTGAGGCAGGCTGAGGCTGAGGCTGAGGCAGGCTGATGCTGAGGCAGGCTGAGGCTGAGGCTGAGGCTGATGCAGGCTGAGGCTGAGGCAGGCTGAGGCTGAGGCCGAGGCTGAAGGCAGACTGAGGCTGAGGCTGAAGCAGGCTGAGGCTGAGGCTGAGGCAGGCTGAGGCTGAGGCTGAGGCAGGCTGAGGCTGAGGCTGTGACTGCGACTGCCGTTGCCACTGCGACTTTCATCGCGAATGCGACTGCGACTGCGAGAACAGCAGAATTCTACAACTGGATTCTCATGTGAATCTTAAGGGGAATGCTTCCAGATATGCTCCTACACATCGCTGTTAGGTTGCTTTGCCGGGATATATTTTTTCACCGCAGCAACGCACTCGTCGACAAGCGCCCCGCAGTCCGCACGACAGCTGGCACAGAGGAGCAAAATGCCGGGCCATGCCAAAAAGCGTGAGACACGGCCACAATGAAGAGAACGGATGACGAGAGCAAGGACGAAGACAAAGCGAGACAACGCGAGAAAGGACGATAGCAAGGAAGAAGACAAGGCGAAGACGGAGCGAAGACAAAGCGAGAAGGAAAGAAGCCAGCAACCAGAAGAAGCGGGGTACTCGCGCGTGCGTACCTAATCCCCACGGCCAACGCCATAGGAGGTGTTCGCACAAATGCCCAACGCGGGACGGCAACAGAACAATCTGAGTACATAAACGTGCCTCGGTACGCAAAGCGAGCGAGCGTACAAAGCAACAAGCAGGACAACTAATGATTGGCGCACGCGCGCGCCAGGAGAATGACACTGAAGCTGGAGGGCACGGCGGTGCCCGGCAAGGAGCCCATGATGGGGGTTGGGCTGGTTTTCCCTCCCTTGATAAAGGGAAAGAGGGCGGAGAGAGACCCAGGGATAGCTTAGCTTCCCCGATACGCAACACGCAGCACGTAGCGTGTTGGCACGGAGCTCTACACGTAGACTGAACTCGTAGGTCTGGCGCGACACGCTCGCCAAAACATGGGTCGACACGCGGAACCATCACGCAACGTGTCAACACGGACGTTTTGAGCACGGCACGTGTTGCGTTTCAAGACGGGCGTAGCAGGGCAATTATGGTCAATATCGAATCGGGAAAACATCAGATCGCGTCGGAACTTGCATCCGTTCGGGCTGCGTCGGCACAAAATCATAATCGAATCGCATCGGCCGCGCCAAGCGTCAGGCCGCACCGATCGCCCGACGAAACGGGGACCGCATCCAGATCGGGTCGTGCGCAACCGGCATCTGGTCGGACCGACCGAATCGAACTGGGTCCTGGAGGGGGGCGATGTCAGGGAGGACCAGGGGAACATGGAAGCCCTCACTGGTCGGAGGGGCCCGAGAACACCCCGACTGTCTCGTTGAAGTAGATCTGGAACGCCTGGTCTGGCCTCTTCTTGTTCATGTTGGCGGACCACATGTGCTCGGCTGCGGTGTCCCACTCCTCCAACGGGAACAAGCCCTTGAAGCGATTGACATCCATCAGGAAATTGTGGCGAGTGACGATGCCGCCCCACCTCTCCCAGGTCATCTTGTAGAGCTGGATCTTCTTGTTCCACGGATCGGACTGGTTCTCCCACTTCCCGTGGAAGGCTTCGCCGCGAAGGGGGCGCTTCTGCGAGAGCCAGGCCTCTGGGCTCCAGCCCTGCAACATGCCCTTCACGCGGTCCACTGGGGTGCTGCCGTGGACGGAGCCGGGGATCACAGCGAACCTGTTGTACGGGTTGTGCTGGGGGTCCAGGTTGATCGTGTTGATGACCGAGGCCATGTAGACCCTCTCGTCCGACTTCATGAGGGAGAACGCCTTGCTAATGAAGTTTGGGTTGGCGTGGGAGTGGTTGCTCCTGTAGATGCGCCACTGGGCATCCAGGTGGTAGACGTACTGAGACTTGGCTTTGAAGTTCTGGTCCAGCGACATGGTGTTGATGTACATTCTGTTGTAGAAGCTGGTGTTCCTCTCCGCCGCGGGGATGGCGTAGTGCTCGAGGGCATCCTCGACCATCGCGGGATCGCTGTAGTCGATGACCTTCACCCTCCATTGCGGCGCCGCGGTGGGGCAGTGGTCGCGCAGGAGGTCGGCGGCAGCCTTGGCGGTAGATATTGCCGCAGACCTCAGCCCAGAGTCTACCTTGAACATCTCGATGTGGCGGCCGCCTAGCAGCATCATCTCGCCCTGCTCGTGAGGCTTGATCGCGTGGCTGGTGGTGTTGCCTGGCGTCTCGGGACCGAGCTTGTCGTGGCCACTGTGCGGGACGTCCAGGACGATCATGATGTCGCTGAAGCAGAAGCGCATCGCGCGGATAGAGGCGAGCACGTTACGGTGCATCTCCTGGAAGGAAGGCTGGCCTCTCTTGTGCCCGCTTGCCCGGCACCCGGTCGGGCCACAGTGGGTGCCGTAGCTGAAGGTCACGTCGGTGCCCGGGACAGTCTCCCAGGAGTCGACCATCTCGCTGATCTCGGACTCGTTGAGGGGCTCCGAGAAACCCTCGAGCTCGCTGGCCGAGTCGATCTCCATCTCGGCCTTGTGTTGATTGGCCTCCGTCTGATCCTTGGCCTCGGCCACGGTATTTGCGGCGGCCTCCAGGCGCGCCTTCAGGCGCATCTCCGTCGCGCTCTCCTCCCTTCTCGCGCTGGCCTCGAGCTCGTCGAAGTTCAGCGCCTCGCCCCACGACCTGAACTCCTGGGAGTGCATCCACGCGTCGGCCATCAGCCTTTCGTTCGACGGGTTGGGCGGCTGGTCTGCCTGGAGGCGGGCCACGGCACCGCGGCCCATGAATCCCATCAGCGCCACGGGCATCATGGCCTTGCACATGGTGACCGAAGCCGAAGCCTTGTAAAATACGGTGGCGGGTACGGACACGTCTGAGACAGTCAGCTTGAGCAAACACAGCTATGGAAGAGGAGGCGGAGGAGGAGCAGGAGGAGAAGGAGGAAGATGATGACGAGGAGAAACAAATAATGATCGCACGTAGTTGTCGCCGGCATCACGCAGCGATAGCTCGTGCCGCCGCATTATTGAAATCAAGATGCTGCTGGCATATTGCGTTGGCGGGCCCGTCTGGGCAAAAACGCAGTTTATGGTAAATCTTGAAAGCGAGAGCTAAGAGAAAAATCGAGCGATCCCTGGAGATCTCCCTCGTGCACTCGCACTCCTCATCCAGACCGATGCGGACGAGCACCGACGCTGGCAGGGTGGAGCGATGGAGTGTCAGGAGGTGAAGGAATCGGAGACAGGCGAGGTAGTGAATGATCGAATCGCCTGCATCGGGGCACTGAACAACGCATCCACGCTGTCCAATAATGTGTATTCTGCTTGTCGTGATCCGGCCACCCGCAAGGGTTTCGAGGGTGCACCAGAATATGGAGGGACGCGTCTGGACCAGCGCTGCACGGAGAGCCTGCCAGCGGGGGCCAAGAGGAGGAACGACGAGGTTGGGGAACCAAGCGCGCAATAGCTTTGACAGCGTGAGGTGAAATCTGTCTGGGAAAAGAGACTGGGTGAGGAAACGAATGTACAACCCCCTGGACACGGGAACGTTCCTGAAGCCCTCGACCAAGCACAGCCGCTTGTGAAGCGGCCTCGGCCTCCGCACGTTGGGATTCGGAGGAGACCTTAGGGAGCGCCCTGTGTGAAACCCGATCGTGGAAGTATTGCGCAATCGTTTTCTTGAGTTGCCAGCACGGCGGGGACCAGAGTTGTTTTGAACCACCCGCAACAGCGGAGCGTGCTCAAGGGCAGCGGCTTCGAGCTCCCTGGGCCACGTTTGCCATCCTGCGATCGTCTGCGTGGCTGCCCGCCAACTGACCCCCGCCGAATACACAGGAATCGGGAGAGGCGAGGCAAACGGCGACCAGTTTCGAGAGAAGGATGATGGTGATGATGATGATGATGATGATGATGATGATGATGATGATGATGTTGTTAATGATGATGATGATGATGATGATGATGATGATGATGATGATGATGATGATGATGATGATGATGGTCATGATGAGCATGATGATCATGATGAGGAGGGAGGCTTCGTCAGACGACAATGCCGCCATCATGTGTCAGGTGCCAGGAGGAGGAGGAGGAGGAGGAGGAGGAGGAGGAGGATGAGGAGGAGGAGGAGGAGGAGGAGGAGGAGGGGGAGGGGTGCACCGGGAAGCGGGGGGCGGGGCCCTCGGAGCTCCTGCGGTCGAAGCCCCCTCGGGTCATGAGGACCTCATGACGAGTTTGCTGCCCCGATACGAAACACGAAAGCCCAAACCCTTCAAACACCGAAGGACAATCAATATGTTTGGGCTTCTAGTTTTTTCGCTGCCGATGGGCTTCCTTGGGGTTCAGGATGGCCCCAAAGGGGCCCTAGAGAGTCTCAAGACGGGCCCAAGGCGGCCCCAAGACGGCTCCAAGAGCGTCCCAAACACCTCCAACACGAAGCGAATTGATCTGGAGTTCAGCACGTAGACTGAAAGCGCAGGTCTGACGCGATGCGTTCGCCAAAACGTGGGCCAACACGCTGAGCCAACATGCAACGTGTCGACACCCACGTTTTGAGCACGGTACACGTTGCGCTTCAAAACGGGCGTCTCGAGGCAGCTGAGAGCGGGAGGTCTTGCGCGATCTTCGGCCATTGGGGGCCCTGGCCTCGGGACCGCCAACAAAAACCACGCATTCCTCAGCATGACAAGCCAGGCCCGGGGGATTGGGTCCAGACCGTGGGGGGCCCTCGTCGTGAAACATCATGACGTCGGGGGTCTGGGGCGGGCCGCTGCCACCCCCGCCCCCCTTCCACGGGAGCGCGCGTGGCGAACGAGCGAAGGAGACGCTGGGGGCGTTCAAGGAGGGGTGCGTCCGACAGAGGGGTTCGCAGAGCATTTCGTGGAGCACGGCCGCGGATGAGGGGGGGGTCCAGGGGACGGGTCGAGAGGAGGGGGGGGGGCCACGAAATCCGGAGAGATCTCATGGCCCCAGCCATGACATCCCCCTACCCTACGGCAAGTTCGTGTCGTCACAACCCCAGCCTTGGTTTCTGACACCGCGGTGATCGATCGACCTGGGACGATCGTCGACTTCTCGATCGCCCGATCGTTCAATGCACTCTTCTGAACCACTGGCGGCGTCAAACCTTGAACGCCCGCGGCGGGGTCGCCGCCGCGCCGACACGACACGAACCGACCGTAGTCATCACCCCCGTCTTGGCCGCCCCAGGGCCCAGAACGGTCGCGAGCCATCCCGCGAGCAAGACAGGGCGCGATCCCCCCTCGAAGAAGAGAAGCGGCACGGGCAGAAATTGTCGGAGGTCCGCGCGGACCTCCGATAAGTTATGTCATCTCTATGCCATTTTATCTTCTCAGGCTCCCCCCCGAGTGTGAACTTCTGAAGTAATTCTGCCGTTCCTGGAATGCAGAGGCTATTTCCACGCCCCTGGGCCGTGAAAACAACAACACATAAGGATGAAGCGACGGTCCTCTCGAATGGGTTGGAGCGCGTTTCACGGGCGCTTGCCTTGGGAACATTCGGCGGCGCGTTTCGAACCCTGGGGTGCCCCCCCCCCAACTCTCGGCGTTGTCGATCAGAACCAGGGGGACTCCCCTCCCCCCGAACCCCCCCCCCATCCCGAACCCCCCCCCCTCTCGGCGCCGGCGCCTGCCCTGGCGGGGACGCAGCGACGATGACCAGGGGCAGTCCAAAAGGGAGGGGGGAGTCCAACCCCCCCCCCCGCGCCGGCGCCGGCGCCGGCGCTGGCGGCGGCCAGCAGCGCCGACGGCGGGGACGCAGCGACGATTACCACCACCACCACCACCACTTCCACCATCACCACCACCTCAACCCACCACCACCACCAACACCAACCACCCACCACGCAACCACCACCACCACAGCCCACCACCAATACCACAACCACCACCAACACAACTCACCACCACCACAAAAACCCACCACCACTACCACCACCACCACCACAATCTACCACACCACCACCACCACCACCACCACCACCGCCACAACCACCACCAGCACCAGCAGCACAACCCACCACCACCACCACAAACCACCACCACAAACCACCACCGCCACCACCACCACCACCAGCACCACCTCCGCAAACCACCGCCACCACCATAACCCACCACCACAAACCACCACCACAAACCACCACCACACCACCACAAAACCACCACCACCACCACGCACCACCACAACCGCAACAACCACAACAATCCACCACACCACCACAACCACAACCACCACCACCGCCACCACCACCACCACAACCCAGCACCACCACCACTACAACAAACCACCAAACCACCACCAACAACAACCACTACCACCACCACCACCAACCACCACACCAAACCACCACAACCACCACCACAACCACCACCACAACCACCACCACCGCCACCACATCCCACCACCACCACCACCACATCCACTACCACCATCACAACCACCACGACAAACCACCACACCACCACCGCCACCGCCACCACCACCTTAACCCACAACCGCCACCACTATCACCACCACCACCACCACCAGAAACCACCGCAACACAACCGCCACCGCCACCATCACCACCACCACCACGCCCTGCCACCACAACCACCACAACCACCACAACCACCACCACCACCACCACCACCACCACCACCACCACCACCACCACCAACCACACCACCACCACCACAACAACCACCACCACCACCACCACCGCCCACCACCACCACCACCACCACCACCTCAGAGAGGCCCCAAAAGACGCACAAGAGGCGCCCAGGAGGCGCCCAGGAGGCCCCCGAGAGCACTCCGACGAGACCCCAAGAGGCACCCATTAGGACTCTGACCCAAAACCAAGGCACGGTGGCGGAGCGTCGTCGTCGTCGTCGTCGCCGTCGCTCTCGTCGACGCTCCCCGCCGCCGCTGCCCGCCGCCGCAGGCGCCGGCGCCGGCCCAGAAAAAGAAGTCGTCGTCCCCGCCGCCGCCGCCAGCCGCCGCCGACGCAGGCGCGGGCTCGAGGAGAGGGAGAGAGAAGTAGGGGAGGAGGGGGAGGGGAGGGGGGGGAGGGGTCGAACCCCTGACCCCCCTCCGTCACGGGAGGGGGGAGGGGGGGGGGGTCGAACCCCCCCCACTCCCCCCGGGGGGGGGGGGGGTCCGGTTCCAACCCCCCGCCCCCTCCAAGCCACCACAGAACGCGCTCTTTCAGAGATCTGGGGGCCAGCGGCTCAAGTAATTCGACCTGTCAGAAGTCTGGGTCCACCCCGCGAAGGCCAGGTCGGACTGACATTCAGGCTGCACCTGTCACCACGCTGTGAATATGTTTGGCCAGCTCTGGAGCCCTCTGCGGACAGAGTACATGAGGCCACTGATCGCTGGCCAGGCGCTCTCAAGGAACAGCTTCACCTGGATTGGCATCACTGGCGTTATCCGAGAGCTGGCCTTGCCCTCAGGACGTAAGCAGTCCGGTGGCGGCCAAGGACCTCGCGATTCTCCTGGACGCTCTGGATCTGCGCGCCTCTGCTCGTCAACCGTCGCAAGAGGAAAGCGCAGACTGGCTGTATGCATGTCGGGAGGTCGTGTGACACATGGGTCCCCAGCCCTTGCAACGCTCATCCTGCGGGAGCGGATCACTCATCGTCGGCAAGGCCAACGCGTCAGGTGCTGCAAATAAAAAACCGGGCAACGTTGCATCTTGGAACCTGGAAGGCTTGACACCAACGCCAACACAGGGAGGGGCTCTACTGGGGGAAGATGACCACGGATCAAGGTGCTGGTTGTAATCTCCCTGCCACCTCGGCGGCCCGAATGTTTCCACCATCGCCGAGATCAGGATCACCTTCCCTCGGCGGACGCCAACGCCGAGGGTGCCAGGCGCAGCCACGTTTTCCAGCGTCAGTGCAGAACTACCCCCAGCTCGAGAACCTCCCATCCGCCTTTGTGCAATTCCGCCACCCCCTGACCCCCTGATCGTGATTCTGTCTTTGCTGGCATCGGCGCCCAGCCTCCATGAGGCCACGCTCATTGTAAAACCCCCTGCCCGGTTCCAAGCGGTCATCGTGATACTTCCTACCTGCCTCCCAGAGCTGAGCGGCGAACGCTTCCATCTCACGCACAGAGCGGATGAGCTTGTCGCTGAGCTGCAGCGAAGCTCCGAAGAAGAGGTAGCCCTGGGGAAAGGGCGGGGGATGCCCGTACACCTGGCCAATGATGCGGCTGGCGAATCCTCACAAAGACATTGCCCGTCACTCACCGCCGCTGTGCCTTTTCTCGCTTTCCCTCCCGCTATCGTCGCCCTGCCGAAGGTGGTAGCGGCCCCATTCACACATACTCCGCTGGCCGCAGGCAGGGTGGTCATGAGAGAGCATTTGCGCGGGATGGATGTGCTACGTATGCCTGACCGCGCAGATCACCTGCTAAATCAGGCACTGGCGCTGTTCATGCCGCCGCCGTGGCCGCTCCCCTACGTTCTGTGTCCCCGTTTGGGCACCCCCCGATGTATAGGTAAACCCAGCCCTTCTCAGCCGCCCCCGCTCTTGCCAGATCTCCTCGTGACCCTAAGGGGGGTCCATCTGAAAGGGGGTGGTGCAATAGATTTTGGGCAAGTGTATTGCAAATGTATTACGCCAGAGAATTGGATTGCATTGTCTTGCAACCCATGTACTGCACGCAAACATCCAGCAATCCATTTGCGCACCGGAATGTGTTCCACAGCCCAGATATATTGCAACCCCACAAACCGATTGCACAACATCTTTTGCACTAACCCTTTTCCGCTGGACCTCCCTCCTTCTGGCCCATCCTGAAGATCTCCTGCTGCATCAGACGCTCGCGGTGCTCCTCACGCCCGCTCCCCTGCGCATGTGACCCGGCCTCGTGCGTCGCGCCGCCCGCAGCGCCAGTGTTTTGTTGGGGGGGGAACTCGGGGATGGGGGGCGAGACTAGAGGCCTCCTAGATGGGGTCCGAGTGAGTATGGTTGAAGGATCGCTCCGCATCGCCCATGCATTGCCGATGTATCGGCGATGCATCGGGGACGTCGGCGATGCATCGCCGACGTCGAAGTGAGGAAACACGGGCTCCACATCGAGACGCATCGGCGATGCATCGGCGGTGTGGCGCAGTCCTCCGACCCCATCTAATCCGAACCCATCCAGGAGGCCTAGAGAGACAGTTGAAACAAAAATGGGGGCGATACGGATTGCAACAGCAGAGTCCGAATTAGAAAAAGCCAAACTCACCCCTCCACCCTCGGGCCTTACCATTGGCAGGTTTCGCGTTCGGCATGTCGGGTTCAACGTTCTTTCGGCACCTGTTCTCCGGGAACGACAATTCAAGATTCAGGCCAGGGGGCGGGGGGGGGTCATGCGAAGTGGTTCATCCTCCATGCTTGTTGCAAACGTTTCTCTTCAACGGGAGGTCGCTTGTGAGCGTAGCTCTGCCAACGAGCCCGCCCGCTCGTCCCCCCCCGAGCTGAAAAGCCCCGGCCAGGCTTCCGGCTTCACCCGCCCTCTCCTATTGCCGCTTCCTTCCCCCTGCAAGACACAACCCGCTCTCCTCCATCCCCCGTCGACCCTTCCCTCTCCGCCTTCACCCTTTCCCTCTCCGTCCTCACCATCGCCCCCAGCTGCCCCCCACCTTTGTCTCCACCCCGAGCTTTCCTCAACCTCCGCACTCCGCTTACTCTTCGCCGGCGCCGCCGTCGCCAGTTTCTCCTCCTCCTTCTCCTCCCCTTCCTCCTCCTCCTCCTCCTTCTCCACCTCCTCCTCCTCCTATTCCTCCACATCCTCCTCATTCTCTCTTCATGTTCCTCCTCCGTTCCCCCTGCTCGTCGTCATCTTCCCTCGAAAGCCTCCAGAGGCCCCCCCAAGGTCCCAGGAGGCGCCCAGAGGCCCCCAGGAAGCTCAAGAAAGCCGGCGCACGGAAAACAAAACCTCGATCCTGGCGCCTGGACGCCCGGTACACTCCTCGGGCACACGCTGTCGACATTGATGGTGGATCATTGGTTCTGGCGCGGGGGCGCCAGATCCACAGATCAGGGAAGGTACTCCCCGGAACATGAAGCCCAAACCTGATCTGGAGACGAAGCGCGCCGATTCTGGACAGAAACGGGATCCGTCGCTAACCCACACGCCTCAATACATGCTTGCCCTTCCTTGAACTCCCCCCGTCCCAAGACATCCGACGTCACATAGGTGTCGCAACGTGGACCCCTGAGGCCGTCGACGCCTTCCAAGGGACGTACATCTCCTTCTCGATCGATACGTCGCGGCCTACGGGCCCGAGCACGGCCCGCCAGAGGTGGAAACATCAGGAAAGCTTCCGCCTTGCTTGTGTTACGCTAAAATCTTGACGCCCCGGCGTCCTTGAACTCGAGCGACACTGGTCTGTTGTTCTCGGTGTCCACCGGGACTGGGGTGTCACGGGTTAGATGGGGGTTCCAACGGGTTCCCGGGGGTGGTCCCACCAGGAGGGGTTCCTGGGAACCCAGGGGATGGGGGGGAGGGGTCCGGGGGGATGTCTCGCCTTCAGGGTCGGCGGCACCGGCCGCAAGGCCTTCACAATCCGGACTTATGTTGCCCCCATCGTACTTAAGGACCACATTCCAGAAATAATTTGGAGCACCCCAAAAAATATCGAAACAATGTCGAACGAGAATCGCCTCCCAGGGCCCGACACGCGAAAACCCTCCAGTTTGGGCACTTCCTTGGTACTCGACACTCGTTTGGGTGGTCAAGGCTAAAGCAGGTTGGAACATCATAAATCTGGACCCCCATGCGTCCTTGAACTCGAGCGACACGATCCTGTTCTTCTCCGCCATGTCCAACAAGGCCCTCCTCTCGACGCCGCTGCGCTGAGCGCTCGAGAACCGGCGCGACCTCGCCCCGCCCCCCTCCCCCGGGGCTCGTCGTCGGCGGCGGCGTCTCTGTCAGTCACGCTCCGGAAGCACTGGCCAGCGGCTCAGACCGATGGGTGTCCTCAGACCTCCTCTCGGGTCGGGCGAAAAGGGGGGATAGCAAAGGGGGGTTTGATAATCAGCTCACGTAGCTGATTTTCCCGGCGCCTCCCGGCGCCGGAGGCGGCTATGTATCGAGGAATGGGCCCCTCGGTAAGGCCGAAACCAGCTGCACGCAGCAAATTTCGTAACCCCCCCTTTCCCAATCCCCCCCTTTCGCCCGGCCCGATCCTCTCAGGAGGGAAAAAGCATACAATTCATCGCCCATTCCCCAGACAAGATGGGTAAACATGGGGAGTGGGGGGGAAGACGAACACCCAGAAAATATAGGAGATATGGGAAATCCTGTCATTTCTGTCTATTTATTTGTGTGTCCCAGGGCCCCTTCATCATCGCAAAATGAAAAAATCGCGACGGGAGTGTGTTTCGCTAATTTCGGCCTCTGGGGGCCCCTACCGGGCCTTGGGACCGTCAAAAAACGACTCGGGATGGAGAACCAATCCCGAGGAATAGGTCTCGAGACCTCTTGGGGGCCGACGTTGTGAAAGAATCATAACGTCGGGGGTCTGGTTCTGCAGCCAGGGGAACTCTGGCGGGGGTGGAGTCCCCAAGTGGTCGCCAGAGCCCGTGTATTCATGATTCACGAGGAAGCGTATCCAGTCCCCCCCCCCCTCCAATCCCCCCTGGTCATGTCACGATGCGCGCCAGCGCCGTCTGGGACTCAGCCATTCTTGAGCATTCCCAGACGGCACTGGCGCGAATCGTGACATGTCCGCCATCCCCCCCATCCGAGGTCACGCCCATTATCGCCAGGGAAAGCCTAGACAAGCGCGCTCCACTACTCGCAAAGTAACTGCTCGCAAATGGCCTGGATTCACCGCCAGGGAGCTTCAACTTCCTATAACTGAGACGAGCATATGTCTTTCGGACGTTTGCGAGTAGGCACTTTGCGAGTAGTGGAACGCGCTCGGTGCAAGACGCTGGCCAAATGGCCGAACAAATCCACATGTGCCTGCATCGTCGCCAGTCTCCCCTGCCCCGGCTGGCCGCTCCGGCCTGCTCTCCGCGGAACTCTTCCACGTCTGAACGCTTCCCCCCCTCCTCCCCTCGCGCGGCCGCCCTCGTCTTCCTTGCTTCCTCTTGCACGCCGGACAATTCGCCCTTCGGTTGCCTCAATTAGCCTCACGCTGGCGCGGACTGCCTCTGCCTCTGCCTCTGCCGCTGACGCAACAAAAAAACACGTCTTCGGCGTGTCCCCGACCTGGCCCCGCCACCCTGCGAGCCCAGCGAGCTGCGGGCGCCTCCGCCCCGGCGACCCCTGCCGCAGGGGAAACAACACACACTCGGGCGTGGTGGCGCCGCTCCTGGCCGCTTTCGTGCTGCCAGGGCGGCGGAGGCGGGCAATACGGCAGGGGGAAACATTTTCCCGTCGGCGGCGTGGCAGAGGCAGTCCGCACCAGCGTGTGGCTAATCGGGGCAAGCGAAAGGTGAATTGTCCGGCGTGCAGGAGGGATCGACGAAGACGAGGGCGGTGGCGCGAGCGAAGGAGGGGGAGGGCGCTCGCGGTAGAGGGTAGCAACTAACCTCTAGAAGTCTTTAGTTTTGAGCCCCCCTTTCACTCGGCGGTAAATAAGACTGGTCCTAAAACCTCTTCCGCCCCTTCCTGAGGCACAAGTACTAGCAGTCGTGGTAGTCGTAGTCGCAATCATAGTCGTAGCTGTCATCGTCGTTGTTCAGCGGCGGGTGCCGCGGGGAAAACATAGTTATCCCCTATTGGTAGGACCCCAGTCCTTCAATAAGGCCGCTGAAAAAAATCACCCCCTTTTGGGGGGCTCTGAAGACTGATCAAGATTAGTGGACACTCCCCCTGCCCCAAAAATTCAAAGTTTGCACGCGCAGGGAAGACTGCGGTCAAGCTGCAACTCATGAAGCCCACCGCCGACTTTGGTCATTGGGGGGAGGGGGGGCATTCACAGATGCGTGCGGCATGCGTGTTCAACAACAGGCTACCACGAAGCACTGCTGAGAGGGAGGTCAGATAAGCCACAACTGTGGGCCCGCATCTCTCCCAGTGTAACTGATGCGTGGCGGGCTGCGACAGCAAGACAGCCGCAGGAGCCAAGCAAGTCGCTTGTGACACGAGCGTGCAATATGGATTAGCTCGCGAATCGAAAGATAGCGAAAGCGAGCGTAAAAATCCGAAGTGGCGAAGGAGGAAGACCATGGAGGAGGAGGCGCAGGAGGAGGAGGAGGAGGAGGAGGCGCATGAGGAGGAGAAGGAGAAGGAGAAGGAGGAGGAGGCGCAGGAGGAGGAGGAGGAGGCGAAGGAGGAGGAGGAACAGGAGAAGGAGAAGGAGGAGAGAGGAGGAGGAGAGAGGAGGAAAGGAGGGAGGAGGAGAAGGAGGAGCAGGAGGAGGACGAGGAGAAGGAGGAGGAGGAGAAGGAGGAGGAGGAGAGAGAGGAGGAGAGGAGGAGGAGGAGGAGGAGGGGAGGAGGAGGAGGAGGGGGAGGAGGAGGAGGAGGAGGAGGAAGAGGAGGGGGGAGGAAGAGGAGGAGAAGGAGGAGGAGGAGGAAAAGGAGGGAAGCAGCGAAGAGGGAACGAGGAAGGAAGGGATGAGTCGGGCGAACGCTGACACGGATCCCCCCCCCCACACACAAAACACGAGGTCGCCGCCCCTCGGTTTGGCCACCGAGCGCGACGATCCTGCACTGCCTCCGGACCCTTAATTCATCTGAGCGACCCAGTCCAGGCCTGCGCTTCCTCGAAGCAGGGACGTACAGTGGAGGCTAGTCCACAAGAAACCTTTCGCAAGAAACCCAACCCTGAGACCCCAGGACGTCCATGGATTTTTGGTGTGGGAACGTCACGCTCTCCATGGTAAAAGCACCGAAGCCCAACAAACCCCGGGCACCCAGGAGGCAAGCAGGTTGTCTCTTGGCATGGGTTCCCACTGCAGGCCACCCCTCCGAGCTGCTCCGAGCCCTGCCGTGCGAAGGCGGCGTCGTCGACTGCGCCGCCGGCGCGCCGCTGCGCCGCAGCGCCGCAGCGCCGGGATGGGTCTGGCGCGCGCTCCCTGGCCCGGCCGCGCGGCCGCGCTCCGGGCCCGAAAGGGCGGCCCTGCCACTGCGACTCGGCACCGTGCTCTCGCGCGCGGGCTCACGCAGCGCGTGGGCGGCGCGGGCCTGTCCGTCGAGGGCCCAACTTCCGCCCCTCCTTCGCCTCCTCCCCCTGATTGCTCGACGTCCTGTCTGCTCCTTGGGCCCCCAGGTGCCCTCGGATGCCTGCCTGGGACGAGCAACGAACCTGGGCGTGAGTCTGCGCTTGGACCGCAATTGCGTCCAGACTGTGCAGCCCGAGCGCAGCGTGCGGCGACGACTCGGTCGCTCCAGACTGGATATGCAAAGATAAGGCCAAAGAAGCTGCAACTCTCCGCCAATGCACGACATGTCACATAATGCACATCACCCGCCAACTGCCAGCTGCTCCTCTGCCCGAACAAGAAACTGCATGTGCTCCTCTCGTTCGCTCATATCGTGTTTCTGCCGACATCCCCAAGGTCATCTGGTTTCTGCCCCGTCTATAGTTCACCCCTTGGCATGCCTGTTATCTGTTTCATGGAATGATGCATTTCTCTGTCGAGTCTTCTGGGTGAAAACTCAATGCCTGCACCGTGATTGCGTACAATTCCGCTTGGACGACTTGTTGCACACCAGCAATTGAAGATTTCATGGTATCAAGACCAGCCAGTGCCAAGATGCAAAACCTAACCGAGTAGTTGACAACTGGGGACTGGGACGCGGTCAGTGTGTCGTGCCGAAGCGTGGTGGGCCAGAACAGGCGGCGCGACACCTTAATCAAACGTTCATGAACGAAAGTACCCTGCTGCTCTTCGTCCTCCTCCTCCTCCTCCGCTACACCTCCTTCTCGCTGTAGCCAGCCTCGCTCCCGCCAGTAAACCCGGCGTCCCCTGATGTCGGCCCTGAGCTCGGACCGAATAGCAACAGCGGGCGTCGTGCTGTAGACGGCGATGAAGACAATTGCGCAGGCCGCCACGCCTTGCCCAGATGAGTTTACTGACAAGGGCAAGGCTCAACTCGTCGAGTAAAAAAGTCAACCCAACATCATGGCACCAGCTCGTGGACTCAGAGTCAAAGAAGGACACTACTGCCAAACATTTATTGGGCAATCAGACCACATCTGGCATAGAAGGGCACCTGAGGCTAGGACCATGTGGGCCAGACCCTACGGACAACCACGGGCATCCCAGCTGGTAGGCGCAACGAAGGCCAGACGCAGGAGGGATTCAATGGGGCAGCCACCTTAAACTCAGTGGACGGGGTCAACGAAACTGAGGACAGCTGGGGCCCGATGTGAGGGGCCATCTGGGACACCACAAATGGGAAGCCTGTGTGCAAGACCCTGTGGGACTACAACATCCCCAATAAACTGGACAAGACATGCCTGACGCGAATGGGAACCGCGTATCGGAATGCTGTTTGGCAAGACGTGTAGAGCACAGTCGCTGAGCTTTCCCAATCGAAGGCTGCCCGGTGTGGCCAACGAAAGTTCTGCCAGTGGACGAACACTCTGGAGGACCGTAAGCACTGGGAGGAACCTGGACGAGCTCTCAAACCTGAAGGAAGCCCCCTAGCCCGAATTAGCTGAGACCGCAGCTCTGAAGGCCCTGGCTTCCCATTCAGACAAACACGTAGGCCTGGTGAGGCGCGGGGGCACTCGCCGAGACCTGGGAGGGGGGGGGCAAAAAAAAAGTGTTTGAAATGGCAAGCGGACGATGCAGCTGGACGCCTGGCAATCAAACCGCAACGCCTCTGGACACTATACCATGTCTGCCCCGGCTGGACAATCTCAAATAGAAAGCCAGGAGGCATCCACGACCCTGCAATATTCGACGGAGCGGCGGATGCGAAGTTACAACGTATGTTCAACCAGCAGGGATGGATGGATGGTCCTTGCCAAAGTCATGGCTATCTTGAAGATAGCGGGGGCTGGGTCGACTTATCACTACACAGATGTTTGTGATATGCTGCACGATTCTTATGCGCTGCAGCGAACCCTGCTATGGTCTGGCAGGCAGGATGTCTCGGTGACTTTCCCCTGTCTGGGCCAACGTCTCTCAGGAATACCTATGTGCGCCTCACACATTCAAGATACATCATCCCCATTATGTGCGTACCCTCCTCTGCTCAGTATCTGCCTGTCCCAGCACAGGCTATACTTGAATGGAGTTCACCCCACATCCCCATCCATGTGTCGAAGCAGCCACGTGTAACAGTAAGAGTGGTTGTAACGCTGCCCACAGAAACAAAACACATCACGCGTGTATAGCTCTCACGGGTGCCAGTGCGACTGCGCATGTATGTCATTGTACAGAGCTCGAGAAGGGTCTATACACCTGGTTAAGTAAGACGAATCAACGTATGATTTACACAATGGAAACACTGCCTGGACGACGAAACAATTTCTTCAGAATGCGCAGGATGCTACCTCGCCCTAAGAAGCAGCAGGCGGGGAGGGCCTGCAAAGGAAGATAACTAAGTGACAAGAACCGAACTGAGTGCATTGCAACGGGGGGTACTGCGTGGACAGTCCCCATCTCTTAGATCTGTCTATGGCGTTCGAACACGACCCTGGCCTCTACACCAACGGTTGATTGCCTGCCTCCAACACGCAATGCATAGCAACATGAGCACCATTTCGGGGCCGAGCGAGACGGGCAACCAGTCTGGGCTGATTCCATACACTTGCGCGCGGGCGTCTGTTCTGAATTGACCTCGCCATTCGGACAAGCAGCAACAAGTAACACGAGGGTTTCTGAGCCGCTGGAGCCCTAACCCTGGCCGATACCAGCGCCTTCCCCCCGACCCCCTGGTCCCAAGGTCCCGGCAACGCCTAGGCTCGGGCGACATTTCGGAAAGCGCACACGTGACCCCTGGCTGGAGAGAGCCTTGGCCCAAGCAGCGCAGCTGCCACCGTGCTGCCACTGCTGGTGTTGGAAGGTGAGCTGCGTGGTGAAAGTTCACAAGGACAAACAAATTGGCAGACAGGTGGAGGAGGAGGAGGAGGAGGCGATGCAAGATAAGAGGGGCGATGGCATAATAATCCGCGCACCAGCCACGCACCCCGTGATGACGCCGAGCTGCATCACGAACAGGAAGGTCAGCAGCAGGAGCCCGTACTCCGAGCTCGACACCTCTCCGCGCGGTGCAGACTTGCGATTGTTGCACGCAACAGCTTAGGGGCAAACAAACCAAGTCGTCATCGAGATGCAACTGCTGGACGGTGGCCTTTTTTGATGGGCCTGTTTTCCACCACCACCACCATCAGTTGGGGGGGGAAGGAGGTGGAGGACGAGGAGGAGAAGGAGGAGGACACCCTTCCCCTCCAACTTATGGTGGTGGTGGTGGTGGTGGAGAACAAGCCCATCATTTTTTGCGACCGACCGTTGCGTCGTAGGCTTGCGGACCCCGCCCAGGACGGCAACAGGAACTTTATACATTGCGCACAGAAGGGGTGCATCCGACGCAGGCCCTGTGTATCTCGTCAGGAGGAGGAACCACCACAGGACACAAGCACTGGGCTCAAAACCCTTCGGCGCCCGTCTGTTGTTAGACTGTACCTGGTATGGTATATCACCATGCATCGTGTAGATCGTTTCCGACCTTTGCCTGGCTCAATTCCGCAGGCTAACCGGCGCAACGCACAAGGACACAATGAACAAATGCACTCGAACGACGGACAACAATCGCGAGAAGTGGAACCACTCCGTGGAACTTCCCCATTCGAGAGAAGACGGAACGCTGTCATCACATCCATCCTGAATGATGGTAAGGCTCTTATGCAAATAGTACCACCGAAGACAAGAGTAAGCTTGACACTACTCCTCTGCGAGTCTGATGCGATGACGGAACAACGTTCGTCGATCCCGACAACGCCTCGACAATCACTTACCATCTTCGCAAGATTGAGCGGAATGCAAGAAGGGGAGGTTGAGCTCTGTGTCGCTCTCATCCCCGCTCTCTGTATGATGCATGTGTATACACACACAGGGCTACACACGCTGTTGTTACTCGCTGGGCCCTCTCAACTCGCTCTGGTTCTGTTATGTCACACACATATACATACCATGTATATGTATATACACATATGTGCATATATATATATACACATATACATCGACAGCTCCATCATATCGTGTATAGCTGCTTATGTATTCACGTGTGTGTATCTGCGGGTGTGCCACCGTGACCTCAACACGTAGTGGAGTGCACAAGAGACTCCTGCAGTTCTGAGAGCTCGATGCAGGCGCCCGAGAACATGTAACAGTTTATAACCCTGGACCACGCAATTCTTATATGTGTTGGGCACCCTTGGAACTTGTCGCGTGGGCCTCCGTGACGGTGAGCCCATCCAGAACGACCTGGAGAACCCCCAGGGCTTCCTCCGAGATGGTCCAAGAGCGCGCGGTGACGGCCCTAGACAGCCTCAAGACAGCCCGCGATGCCCCTTCAGACAGCCCAAGGAGCTCCCAAGACGAGGCGAAAACATGGTTAAACCTAAGGTTGTTGGAAGATTTAACACTATCGCCTTTTCAAGCTCTCGAAGCTGATAGAGGCCCGAGAGGCCCCCAAGAGGGCCCCCAAGAGTGTTCCCAGAGAGCCCCCAGACCGCTCAAGAGGCCCCCAAGGCGGCCCAAGAGGGCCCCAAGAGGGGCCTTAGAGAGGCCACCGAGGGGGAACCCGAGTCGGCATTTCGAGCCCTCCGCCCAAAAACGATGACCTGCGAGACCGCCAGCAGGCCGCGAAGAAGCCCCCACGAAGCTCCAGGAGGCCCCCAAGAGGCCAAGTCAGGCCCAAAAGGCCCCCAAGAGGTCCCCAAGAGGCCCCCAATGCCGCCTCCAAGAGGCTGATCTGACCAATGCTCGGCGGCGGAATGGGCCGAACGCCACTAGATACTAGATAATATCTGCTCTCTCTCTGTCTTTTTTTTTGTTTTTGTTTTTTTTTCTCTCTCTCTCTCTCTCTCTTTGTTCTCTGTCCTTCTCTCCCTCTCTGTCTCGCTCTCTGCCCAACTATTCCCACAACAGCTCAGCTATGCTCCATACAATTCCGACAGTGGTCGCAGAGACCCAGATATGCTGCCGCTGCCTAGAACTCGAAGACATGGGAACCTGACAATGAAGGAAACTCTGGACCCAGGAATGGGACCCCCGAGACCCGCCCGCTCACCGAAATCGGCCTAGAACTCAAAACCGGCAACACCCACAGCGTTTCCAGGATCATCTTGAACCCCGCCACCCCTGGGCCTTGGCGCGGGAGGAGACAAGCCAGTCCAGCATAATGTCCACGCCGAAGAACGCCATGATCCCGCCTGCGGGTGTGCCGCCGACCATTGCTCCTGCCCCTCCATCACCATTCCTCCTCCTCCTCCTCCTCCTCCTCCTCCTTTCCCCTGCCTCCTTGCCCTCCCCCCTGCACATTGCATTCCTCCTCCTCCTCCTGCTCCTGGTCCTCCTCATCCGCGTCCTCCTCGACCTCCTCCTCCACCCCTTGGGAGCACCAGTGCGACGCGGAGCCCTGGGAAGCTGGCAACGGCCCCTCAACCTCAACAAGACTCCCTGGCAATTCCCAGAAGTGCTCCCTAGAGGACCCAGCATGCTGGAAGCGCCCGAAACTTAATACATCCTCTCCGAAGGTGTGGCAGAAAACCTGCTCTGCACGCCCCCAGAATCGGTTTCAACGTGGATGTCCTTGATATCCCCAAGGCTCACCAGTCGCTTCCAGGATCAATCATCTGGCTTGCATACATGTTGATGGTTACGAGTTGGTCGGCTAGTATCCATGGCCTTGCAAGAGTAATCAACATCAAATGAAAGGGCAGCGTGCCATCTGAGCCCAGAACGCCCTGAAATAACCAGACACGAACGATATGTGCCTCAGAAATGCTGGGCACAAGATGTGGGCTCCGCCTACGTAGAACCCTGGGAAGAACTGCAGGATGTCGACAGGCGCCAGGAAGAGCAGGAACTCGCCAATCCCGATGGTCAAGCCTGGGTGGCCGCCTCGCCTGCTCCTTCCCGTCTCATCCCATCCTGAGTCTCCCCCTTCTACGCCCCGCAAGCTCCAAGCCTGAATGGAGACCCCCGTGCTCCTCAGAGCAGCACCAGACCACCGCCAGCTACTTTGGCAACAGGCCTCTGGAACTCAGAGCTGCAGGCGCAAGGTCGACATGCACTCAAATCATGAAGAAAGAACATACGATCGCCGCCATGCTCTCAATCTCAGGCCGCGTGCGCACCACTTACGTACATCAAGCATGGAAGGTCTCTCTCTCTCTCTCTCCCTCTCTCGCCCTCTCTCGCTCTATGCCCCTATGCCGCTACGGTGCTCTATGCTAGCCAGCACCTTAGAATCTAAGTGTGCAGGCTGGCGAAGTCATCATTGCCACTCCGAAATGCTACAAGAGAATGTCAGTATCGCACACAACCCAGTATATCGTACCATCGCTGAGCGACGCAAAAGGCATCCTGTCACTCCCACCAACGCCTCGCTCTGTCCCGACCGCCATCGTCGTCTAGGCAAGGGTGAGCAATGATCCCCCAACCCAGGGATCGCAGCAGAGATGCGTGTAGAATGCTCCACATGGTCTAAGGCCCCGTGAGGGTCCCCCTGAAAAGAAATCAGTCCCTCGCTACTCCCCCCTCTCTACTCTTCCATCTCATCCGTTCCTCCCCCCTCCCCCCGAGCGATCGCCAGATACCCCTGTGACTGCAGCATGACGCTGCTTCTTCCCCTCATCTCGAAAAACCTGTGCATTGCAAGTGCTACTCCACACTTGCCAAACCTAGACATTGACGTAGCCACGCAGTGCGCACACACGTAATCCTGCCTTGGTTCGCCGACGACGTCTGCCATTTTGTTTGGGCTACCTGTCGCGAGGGCAAACAAGCTCTGGCACAGAGACTTGTTGGACCAACATCCAGTCGCGGTGCCCAATGAAGGACTTGACAACTATGCGGCTAGTTTGGCTCCGTGCTCCGAATCTCTGACGACGACAACAGTGGCTCCCCATGGTATGGATGGCAATGCACAGCGTTTGCAATTCCCACCTAGCATGCCGAACTTGCTACCATTCTGTATTTCGCCGCCCCTCCCCCGTGACACCAGTCCCGCCGAACATTCACCTGGTTTGATTGCCATCTCGCCTGTCTCGGACAGCAGACTGATTTCCAAGTGGCGATGCGCATAACAGCGGTTCAAAGGTGGCACAAGCTGACACTCAAGTTGCAAAGGAGGTATACTTTGACAGGGATGTACATGTTTCTGAGAACGACATCAACGCATCCTATTGTTGCTTGTCAGCGCCCCCCGGTACTACGGGCCAGAAACTGCGTGGGCAAATGCCGGTAACATACGTACGAGTTCGATGTACGCGTAAGATGGACTTCGTTGACTCATCAGAACCCTTGTGGGATGAGCCCAATGATGCGATTGCCAAGGCAATATTCGACTGCCAGGTTACGACTGAGAGATACAACTGCTACGAGACTGCAGTAAGCCGCTGGTCCATATGTTGTTGATGCTGACACTTCTGCAGTGGTGTAAATCGACAGCCACGCGCCATGTCTTGCTTCAAGTTCCAATCAAGCTAACAGGACAAGTCGCGGCGATTGCTTCAATATCAACGCAGGAAGGCCATGTAAACAAATCTGCGATTCAATAGCGTCGGCATCGAAAGATAGTGAGGCTATAGGATCATAACCGCTCACATAGTATGACACAGTTGTATAACTGGTCGAGTTGCTACAGCAAAGGGGTGAAGATAGTGCTGCAATTCTTCGTACAGTGAACTGTACAACGCAGAGACCTCACATCGAGAGGCCTTTTACCTTATTCAAGCATAACGCATTAGGCACTGCCACAACGCTTCACGTTTGGCATATAGCAATTCATGCGCTGCGCCTGGCTTCTCTTTCTTCCATCTGTTTCATCATCCTCATCATTACCATCACCACCATTTCGCTGGGAATGTAATCGGTTTACACATCTCCGACCCTCACTAGGGCATCCAAACGAAGGCCTATGCCTACGAGGCACAACTTTCCACATTCCTCCGCATTGTTTTAGCACAGTTGTCGCCAATCAGTGCAACATCAGCAGAGCCATTGGCGCGCGTGCAGAATTATTCAAGGAGAGGGCACTTAACAGAAAAGGAAGGTACTTTCAAACCCGACCATCGGTGAGGGCATACTGTTTCGCCTGTGCAAGGAACTGCAAGACCAAAAGAGCTTCCAGTAGGACGCAACGCACCGCAGTCCAATTGGCCCAATATTTGGGGCATTGCAGGGCCTCATTTTATTGGCCCTACATATTATGGAGGGCAGCGTCGAAAAGCTCCTCCTGACCCTCGGCGAGGGATATGTCCCATATTGTTCTCCATCGTTTTTTCCTTAGGGGGAAGAGGAGGAGGAGGAGGAGGAGGAGGAGGAGGAGGAGGAGGAGGAGGAGGAGGAGGAGGAGGAGGGTGACAAGGAGAGGGAGGATGAGGAGGAGGAGGAGGAGAAGGAGGAGAAGGAGGAGGAGGAGGAGGAGGAGGAGGAGGAGGAGGAGGAGGAGAAGCACCCCTCTCGGGCAACCTCGACCGCAGCCGCCAGGGGGGGGCGGGAGGTCAGGCGGGAGGAGGGGCGGGAGGGAGGAACATAGAGCATTGGTTGACTGGTTGTTTGTAAGGCCTATGATGGTTCTTGTCTTGGTGTCTTGGCCGGAGGGGCGGGAGGAGGGGGGAGTGGGGGGGAAGGCGGGGCGGGAGGGGGAAGAGGGGAGCGGGAAGGAGGGGCAGGAGGGAGGGAGCCGGGGAAGGGGCGAGAGGGCGCCGGAGAAGGGAGGGGGGGCGGGAAGGAGGGGGCGGGAGGAGGGAGGGAGGGAGCGGGAGGGAGGGATCGGGAGGGAGCGGGAGGCGGGACGGGGGGAGGGGCGGGAGGAGTGGCGGGAGGAGGGGCGGGCGGGAGAGCTCGAGGGAGGGCGGGAGGTAGCTCGAAGAGGCGACGCCCCCCCCCAGCGGGCCGTTCAGCTCGTGGGCCACGCCCTGCCGCTGAGAGAAGACCGTCTGCGAGAAAATGTAGCTGGCGGGGCGGGGGGGGGGGATGACGACCACGAGGAGCAGGACGGGACGAAGAGGAGGAGGGGATGCGGAGGAGGAGCAGGAGCAGGAGGAGGAGGAGGAGGAGGAGGAGGAGGAGGAGGAGGAGGAGGAGGAGGAGGGGAGGTTGAGGAGGAGGAGGAGGAGGAGGAGGAGGAGGAGGAGGAGGAGGAGGGTCGAGCCTGTTTCCCGCCGACAGAAGCAGGAGGGGGGAGGATAAGAACCAAGGAACCTTCGAGACGAACGCAAGATATGTCGACCCCTCTCCCCGACTTCGTGGGTTTTCCGGATGGACCACATTTTTGGGGCCAAGCCCAGGGATATACGAAGGGTGGGCGTGCATCCTCGATAGGGGGTGCGGCCGAATAGCCCACTGGGGGTGTATCCACGAGTTTGGACTCCTTTTCTGAGCAGCTGCACGTTTCGTCGAAAAGTCGGAGGATGGGGGCGAGAACTCGCCTGAGAGGGGGGAGCGCAGTGGCGCCGGCGTGCGCGCCGCCGCCGCGCCGCGCACAGCGAGGCCACTCCTGAGAGGCCTTCCTTGATAACGAGGGAGGGCTATGAAGCCCGCTTCGGGGGGGCGCAGAGGTGGGGCTAGGGCAGAGGTGGGGCTAGGGGCAAGTCGCCTTGGACGGCCCCTCACGAGGGAAAGCGAGCGCCAGCCTCGAGCTGGGCTCGCCCTCTTTGCTCACCCAGGGCTAACCCTTTCTACGCGCCCCCGACCGATGACAGGGCCATTGAGCCGAGCCGGATGAGCCCCGATTGAGCCCAGGATGAAACACGATTAGACAGCGCTTTCCAATTTCCGCGATAGCGGCAACTACGGGCCCTGGCCGTCCCTCCCCCCATGTAACATTATGTGTCATGCTGACGTCCGAATGCTCTTTGGTTATTCCTTGACGCTCCCAGACGGCGCCGGCGCGACACGTGACGTTGCCGGCCCCCTCCCTCCACGAAGCCAAATATTAGACCCCATAGAACCAGATTGAGCAGGATGAAACGGAGCTGCGCGGGATCATGCGGCGTTCGGCGGGACTTCGTCCACGGAGATGGCAGCACCGATATTAGGCTCTCGGCATTTTATCCATGCCCCTGCTCACGCCCCAAACCCCGCGAGGGGCCAGAGCGGGGATATGAATAAAAACCGGCCTTCGAGGCCACGGTTCTTTATTCATCCCCAGCTGCACCTGGCGCCCGGAGTTAAGGGCAGGAGCAAGAATTTAGATCGAACGTCGATCGCCGAGATTCGCCTCCCAAGAGCTGCATCCTTATCTAGATCTGTGGGCAGGACGAGGACCAGTGTGGATGAAGAGGCGGGTCTGGAGAACGGATCGGGCGCCGCGGCCGTCTCGGGGCGCTCCAGCAGGCCGCGGGCGCGTTCTGGAACGCTCTGGGGCGAGTTGTCTTCAGGGGCTGCCTGACCCCTCCCCCCCCAAGACCTCTGGGCGTCGCAGCAAAATCTTAGGGCGGATGTTTCTTCGATTGGCTCTCCCCTCCTCTCCCGCGGCCGCTCCCTCCTCTTTTCCAGTCCTGCTGCCGGCAGTTCGCAGTGCCGTCCCCGGGCTTGCCCGAGCGCGCGTGTGGACTTCTGCTGCTCCCATCCATCATACGTAAGGACCACGTCCCAGAAATAATGTCGAGCACCCGGAAAAGTGTCGAAAGAGTGTGGAAACAGTGCCGAAACAGTGTCGGACGAGTACCTCCCAGGGCCCGACACGTGAAAACCTTAGAGTTGCGGTACCTCTTTGGTGCTCGAAATTATTGTTTCTGGTGGTCAAGGCTAAAGTTTGTTGGAACATCATAAGTGTGGACTGCCTCTGCCGCGCCGCGGCGCAAGAACGTGTCGTCGACTGGGGCATCCCGAGCGGCCCGCTACGGAGTCGCCAGGTCGTCGGAAGACGATGCAGGACTGGCGGCCGTGCTCAGGGCAGAGGGTCGAGGCATCCGTAGGGCTATCCCCAGCCGCGGGAAGAAGTGGTGGCGTGGGATGCCTGGGCACGACGTGATGAAATCAGGAGCGCTTTTTTTTTTCTCGGCGATAATCGGCACAAAAGGGGGGGAGGAGCCAGGGGGGGTATCATGTAACGCCTCCCCCCCGCCGTGCACACGGCGGCAGTGCCCGAGGCGCACTGGGGGGGGGGGGGGGGCGTTACGTTATTGGGGGGGAGGGGGAGCCCGGGGCTATAATGCCCATTACGCCCCAAGCAATGAAGAAACACGCTCGAGCATGTTTCTCGCGATAGCGGGCGTAGTCGGGGAAGGGGTGGAGGGGGGGAAGTCGCCACCGGAAATCTCAGGACATCCTCGAAAAATCCGTTGGAGATCTTGGCAAAAAGTGGGCAGAACAGCGTGACGTGATCCGCGGGGGGAAAGGCGAGGCGAGCGCGCGATGTCGGTCCGGCGGGACCGGCCCTCAGAGGGCAGCGCGGGAGTGCCAGAACCCTCAGGAGACGTGTTGGCGGCAGGAGTTGGAGCCGTAGTCGGCGGAAGCCGTAGCCGGAGATACGGGAGCCGGAGTTGCAGGAAAGGACGCCGGAGTCGGCGAGAAGGGAGCCGGAGTCGGAGGGAAGGACGCTGGAGTCGGAAAGACGGCGGGAGTCGGAGATATGTGAGCCAGAGTCGGAGGGATGGAAGCCGGAGTCGGAGATACAGGAGCTGGAGTCGGGGAGTTGGGAGCAGGAGGGAGAGGGCCGATCACGATCGTGATCGCCCAGGCCTTGAAAAAAACTGGCTCTGGCCAGGGGCAGGCAAGAGCACGTGAAGAGACGAGGGCAGCATTGAAGGGGCCCAGGGACACACAAATAAATAGACACAAATCCCAGGATTCCCTATATTTGTAGATATTTTCTGGGCTTCCGCCTTCCCCCCACTTCCCAATGTTTCCCGTATTTTCTGGGAGATCGACGGTTAATTGTGTCTGTGTGTTTTCCCATAGTGAAGCATGAATGGCGCCCGGACGAAGACCGTGGTTCATGCGTCTCCCCCATCCGGCACAGCGCTTCGTGGCCCCATAGGGAGCTCCACCCAAGACCCCAGTGGCGGTGTCGACATGTGGGTTCGCAGCATCGAGCGTGTTGGCGGCGACGATAGGGGCGAATAGCCCAGGGGCGGGCATTACACGTAGTCGCCCGGGAGCCTTGTCGAAGACATAGATCATCGGCACCCCTGGATAGATGTATTGCTCCCCCCCATGGGCTGTTCGCCCCCATCGTCGCCCCCGAACCTAAGGCCCCAGTGGCGGTGTCCACATGTGGGCTCGCAGCAGGAGCGTGAGCACGGATGCAACGGAGCAGCCCAGCTGCCGAGGTGCCCAGGCTTCGACGGGCTTGGCCGCCCGCGCGGCGCCCGTGCGCCAGAGCGCAGCTTGCAGGAGAGAGCTCCGCTGCTCTGGGGCGGGGGTCGCGAATCTTCCTCTCTCGCTCCTGGCACGCTCCCGGCGAGCCCAGCAGCAAGACGCCTGCGCCGAAAAGAAGAGCGTCGAGATATCCTCCGGGTCTGATGAGAACGGCGCCTCCCGCACTTGGGCCACGTGAGGGACGGGACTGATATCACCCGTTGATCTGGAATGCCAGGTAGGGGTTCGAGTACACATTGGAGTGCGAGAAAAGGAGTAAGTAGAACTCTGCTGGCCTGGTGCAGCGGTTCCTGCGTTGGACAACGGCCCCCAGGGGCGTTGCAGCACAAAGTGTTTTGACGGGGTTCATTTTCTCCCCTGTCTCCCCTTCCCGCCTCGCATCTCCCGATTCCCTTTTGGGCCCCTCACTTCCGATGGACGATGCGTGGGCCAAGATGAGGCAAAGAAGGTCGAGCCTTCCACATCATGAGTACAAGTAACAGATTGAAGGATCCGAGCGTCCCTACACCCTCCCTGGGTGCTTGGCTCAAGTGGGCTTCCAAAGTGCGAATTCTCGTTGAACGCTCACTTTTGAAATAGAACTGTGGTGGACCACCACTCACCCGCTGGAACTGGTTTTCTCAATCAGAATGTGCCCCGCTGCGCTGAAACCTTTTTTTTCTAAGGGGGAGAACCTCCCCGCTCAGAGTTCTCTGCCACAACAAGCACTGGAAACGTGAAGGTCTCAGGCCTCCGTGCTGACCAAACGCGTCGTGGGCTCACTGAGGCCCCCGTGTCTGCCACGTGTGCGGCCTCTTCCAGAAGTCGTCGTCTCGGCGATTGTAATAAGAATCCAGGATGGCATCCATCGCCTGCGCCGTGCGTAGAGCAGAAGCTGCCGTGGACGGACAGAGGCTGCAGTCACCCTTGCGCACGGCATCGATGACTGTCGAGACGAGCGGCCTCTGCACAACTGGCGGCGGAGGGTCCGAGAAGACCTTCGGGGGGAATGAAAGGGGGGAATAGCAAAGGGTAGGGCAGAGCATCAGCTCACGTAGCTGATTTTCCCAGCGCCTCCCGGCGCCGGGAGGCGCCCATGTATCGAGCAATGGGCCCCGCGGCGGGGCCGAAACCAGCTGCATGCAGCAGATTTCGTAACCCCCCCTTTCCCTATCCCCCCCTTTCGCTCGGCCCGAGACCTGCGTCTCGAACCCGGCACGCCGCAGCAACGTCTCGTCGCCGTTCATGAGATCCGGCAGAGTAAGGGCGCCTGGGGGGACACGAAAATGCCCATGCTGGCACTCCACGGACATCTCCTCGGGTTCGTTCTGGTCAGGATTCCGACGCAGATCCGGCCAAGGGCAACGGCATCTATGGAGGAGCCAACACAAAGGTCCGAGCGGATTTCTTGGATCGGCGCTGGACTACCCTCCCTGGGGCGAGGAGCGCGCCAGGGGCGACGCCGGAGGAGCCGCCCGGGGAAGCCACCGCCGATCCACGAAATCCGCGCGGACCTCAGAAATTGTATGCTTATGCCTTGTTTCCGTCTTCGATCTTCACCGACACAATGAAGCTGCTGTGCACCCTTATTTTTACGTGGTGCTTCCTTTCGACGAGCTGTGGGCAATTGCGCTCCCCAACGCCTGCCACTCTGAGCCAGCCAGCTTCGGATGACAGCAACGACGTTCCTACTCCAAGCTTTCGGCGGCAACTCAGGGGAGCATCCCATAACATCTTCGGCCCTTGCGATTCGACGCTAGTCGACGCTAAATCGAGGCGCATCGACGCTACATCGACGCTATCTCATCGAGTACCAGACGCTAGTCGACGCGAGCGCATGGAATTACGAGGGCACACAAGGCTCCCATGACCTGCTGCCTACAACAAATTTACGTGTTTGCAGTCTTGCCGACCCGAGGAATTTGCGTGGCATTTCGAGTTCTTATGTTTATGTCATTGCTTGTTCCCCAGTATTCGACCTTCCCCCTCTGAGCGCCAGCAGTGCCCCGGATCTCGAGGACGTCCCCGCTCAGGGGCGCCAAAAATCGAGTAGGAGATCGACTACATAATTGTCATACTCCCATCTCTCGTCGAATCTACAAATAGTCTACGACAGTTCGACGTAAATCTACGACAGCTCCACGCACTTGCCGCAGATTCGACTGGACAAATGAATTGTGGGGTAAGCCAATTTGCGCGGACCTTCGAGTGATTATGTTCATGTCACTGATTGTTCCCCGATATTCGGTCTCGCCCCGACGCGCGTGCGAATCATCTCGGCCGCGCTGCGGCGTAAAAAGTTCTCCGACGTTCCACCTTCCCCGTCTGAGCTCGGAGGTTGCTGAAGGTGCCCCTGGCCCAAGGTGCCCCCAGCGTTCCGATTCATGTTGAGGCCCCTGGGGCCCACTGCGCCTCGTGATGGGGTGCTCTGGAAGCCGTGGGGGCCTCCTTGGAAATCCTGGGGGCACCTTGGGCCAGGGGCACTTCTAGCAGCACCCGATGAGCGCCAGCAGTGCCCCGGATCTCGAGGACGTCCTCGCCCAGGGGCGCCGAGAAGTCCCACGTGGCGCTGCCCACCGCACCGCTCGGCCACGCGAAGGACGCGGCGACCCGGCTCTCCACCGCGCCTGGCGGGCCTCTGGCCGTGCCGCACACCTCTCAGGGGGGGCCCAGTGCGACACCCATAGCTCGGCACAAACTCTATGATTCTAGATCCCCCCCCCTGGTGGGAGGGCGCCTCCGCTCCTCCTCCTCCTCCTCCTCCTCCTCCTCCTCCTCCTCCTCCTCCTCCTCCTCCTCCTCCTCCCCCTCCGCTTCCGCCTCCGCCTCCTCCTCCTCCGCCTCCTTCTCCTCGAAAGGGGTCCCGGGGAGGGGTCCCGGGGGAGGTTCTGCCTGTGCTGGGGGAGAGTGGTCTCGGAGGGTCGGCGGCACCGGCCGCAAGCATCCACAATAGATCGGCACAAGTTCCAAGATGCCAGAGATGTTCCCATATTTCCTGGATTTCCCCCTTCCCCCCCTATATATAGATATATATATACACACACACACTAGAACCACGCGCGCGCTTCGCGCGCGCGCTTAGGTTCTAGCGCAGGCCAGGGAAGAATTACAACATATTGGGATCCTCCACTTTGTTCTCCGCCTCCAAGCGGCCTCCAAGACGGCCCCAAGAAGCACCGAAGAGGTCGGAAGTGAGAGGGTGAAATCGCAGTGGAACGGAGAGCCCCCCACCAGGAAATGGGTTTCGGTTCGGGTTCGTGTCGTGCGTGCGGGCGAAGCGAAGCTGCGTGGGCGGGCGAGAAGAATAATTCCGCTGTGGCTAGGGCGGGTCAAGAGCCGTTGACCGCCCCATCCACCTGGTGGTCCAGCGTTGGCCGAGGTTGTCCCGCCGTCGTGTCCCGGCGGTTTCCCGTCGGTGTCCCAGTGGTGTCCCGTCGCTGTCCCGTCGGTGTCCCGTTGGTGTCCCGTCGGTTTCCTGTCGGTGTCCCGTCGGTGCCCCGTCGTTGCCCCGTCGCTGTCCCGTCGCTGTCCCGTCATTGTCGAGTCGATGTCCCGTCGGTATCCCGTGGCGTCCCGTCGGTGTTCTGTGGTGTCCCTCGGTGAAATCGATGATGAAATTGATGGTGAGATCGATTGTGAGATCAATAATGAGATCGATAGTGATCTCGATATTGGGATCGATAGTGACATCGATAGTGAGATCGAAAATGAAGTCGTTCGTGAGATTTATCAAGGGATCGAAAGTCAGATCGGTGTGAGATCGATAGTGAGATCGGTAGTGAGATCGATAGTGATATCGGTAGTGATAACGATAGTGGGATCGATAGTGAGATCGATTGTGATATCGGTAGTGCGATCGATAGATGGGCATCGATCTCGCGATCGATAATGACATCGATTGCGAAATCGCTCGAGTGAGGTCGATAGTGAGTTCGATGGTGAGATCGATTGTGAGATCGATAGTGGGACGCTGCCTAAGGGGAAAGCACGACCCCACGGGGTCACCAGGCAACGCTCCCTGTGGGTTCCTGGTTCCCCGATGAGGTCCTACACCCGCTGAAATAAAGAAGAGGAGACGAAGTGCCCGACGCGACCCAGAGGCAAGGTATGGAAGGAGGTGGAGCTTCTGACCTACAACCCAGGCTCAACCGAAGCGGCGGCAGCGACGGCGGCGGGGGCCGAACCGACGATCGAAGTTCGAGGAGGATGAGAAGCGAGGCCCTGGGGAGGGTGGGAGCCCTCCCCAAAAAACGGCGTGTTAGGGGCCCCGGTGTTTCCACTGGCTATCATGAGGTCGCGTCTGCGATCTGTGAGCCGTATTTGGGATCTTTTGGGTCTTGCCAGAGCGTTGACCATTCGTGATTCGAACTGATCTCGGCCATATTGACCTTCTCTTGGGGCCCTCGTGAGACCTGGGACCCAATCCGCCGACCCTGTCGGCGTGTGGAAGACGCCCTTCCTGCCCCTCCCTTTTCACGCATGATGCTCGGGATCCCCGTCCCCGTACGAATGTCCCTTCCCGTTACGAATGCGAATCCTCCTCCTCCTCCTCCTCGTCCTCCTCCTCCTCCACCTCCTCCTCCTCCTTCTCCTCCCCCTCCTCCTCCTACTGCTCCTCGTCCTCCTCGTCCTCGTCTCCCGTTCCTCGTATTTCTTCCCCCCCTCCCCCTTCCTAGGGCACGAACCCGAAGGCACCAACTGCCAGCGACGACGAATCGCAGCAGGCAGAGCACGCGACACTTGGGAGTGTCGACGGCGAAAGAAGCGTCCGACGCCCGGTGTCGCATCCCAGGGAGGGTTGTGATGGACCCAAATCTGAATCGATGCTCCCGTGAGCCTCTCAAGCAATATCGTGTAGGAAATGTATGCGAGGCCCCTGTGGCGCCTCCATCTCGGAACCGATGTCTCTGGAAACCGCTGTGGGAACATCGTTTAAGGTGTAGACGCGTGGCCTCTGAGAGGGTTCTCTGGGCCTCTTGGAAGCCTCAAGAGCCTTTTGGCTCGTACTGCCACCGTGCCGGGATTGTGGCCAGAGGCGTGTCACACCTGGTTGGGATGTCTTGGCGTGCTGCTCGGGTGCTTCTTGGTAGAGCGAGTTTTCAAGCTTTTTATGGGTTCTGAGAGACTGGAGAGGCGAGAACGCGTAAACATCAGAAAACCACACAGAGTGGCATGATTGGGCCTTCTTGGCGGCGCTCTTGGGGTCTTTTGGGGCTCGTATGGGGCCCTCGAAGGCCGTCCCGGAGCGCTATTGGGCAGACTTGGGAGGCCGGGGCCGTCTTGGGGCTCTCTTGGGGCCCTGTTGGGCCCTCTTGGGGGTCTCCTGTGGCTCGCGCAGGGCTCTCTTCGGAGCTTTTTGGGCCCTTTGAGGCCGCTCTTGGGCCGTCATGGGGCTCTCTTGGGCCGTCTTGGTGCTCTCTCGGGCCGTTTTAGGGCCCTCTTGGGGCCTCCGGGGCCGACTTGGGAGGATCTAGGGGGCTTCTTGGGACGTCTTGGACGCTCTCGAGACCAAACAAGCGAATATGCTAAAAATGTGCGTTTTCCGAGGGAATGTGCAGATTTTTGCTTCGTGGGGGTCCTCGTTGGGGCCTCTTGGGGCGTTTTCGGGGCCTCTTGGGCCGTCTTGAAACCATCTAGGGCACTGGGAAGTCATCTTGACCAGTCCTGGGATCCCTTTGTGGCGCTTTCGGGCGCTCTTGGCAACCTCTTGGGCAGTCTGGAAGCCATCGTGGGCGTTTTTGGAGCGTCCCAAGGGCTGTCTTGAGCGGCCGGGGAGCGGCCGAGGAGGCCCCAGGGGGGGTGGACCCAGATTGGGGGTTCGAGGCCGTGGTTTCCGGGCCCCGATTTCCTTCCCCGGGTAGATGTGTGTGTATATATATTATATATATATTATATATATATTATATATATATATATATACGTGTATATATATGTGTATATATATATATATATATATCCAACAAGCCCCTATGTTTTCATGGAGTTCAGCGCTTGTTCATGTTTGTGCAGATGTTTTCCCTTCTGAGCCTCCCGGCATCTCTCCTTCCCAGGGTGCGCCCTGACCAGGACTTCGAGGCGAAACCAGCCGTGGCGACGAGGACATCCCACGAGGCCCAAAAGAGGGAAACGGGAGAAGGGGAGCGGTACAGTGCCGGCGCGGCCGCAAGAAACCCTCGCAAGAAACCCAACCCTGAGAACCCGTGCGCGAGGTGCACCCGAGGGGAAACCTGGAGCACCCTGAACGCAGCAGCTCCTTCAACGGCCGGCACGGCATAGGCTGCGCCAGGCTGCACAACAGCGCCGTGCAGGCATCTCGGACCGCACAAAGGGCCGTCGGGAAACAGGAGCCGACCAACTGGGATGCGGCCTGCTGGAATCGATACAGAACTGGATCGACTGGATCAACCCTGAACCCAAAAATAAGGTCATCCCTTGCGGGGCGCACCTTTTACTTCCGCCAGATTCTGTCCGCCTCTCGCCGGCTTCCGCCGGCGGAGCCGCCCTCGTATTGCTTCCACCGCCTTCCGCCGCCCTCAACGCCGCCTTCCGCCAGGAGAAAAAAGCAACTCATTCGACCCTCCAAGGCGAGGGCCTTTCTGGAGCGCCCTAAATCGGCCCTAGCTCCTGCTGCAGAGGCCCCAGCAGGAAGTCCGGCAGGTGCAGTAGCACAAACAACTGCATAAACAGAATTACATGTTTGGAGCTCCGCGCGGATTTCTTGGATCGGTGTTCGACCCCCGTCGACCCAAGCGCCCGGCGCCGACCCAAAGAATCCGCACGGAACTCTGGAAGTTGATTGTCCCGTCTGTGAGTTGTCCTCCTCCTCCTCCTCCTTCTCCTTCTCCTCCTCCTCCTCTTCCTCCCTTCTTCATCCTCGTTCTCATCGTCCTTACTCCCGTCGCCGTCACTCCTGCTCCTGTCGCTGCAATCCTCTCAGGCGTCACACCCCTCACGCGCGTCGTGCCTCACAGGGGCTTCCTCACCAGTGGCCCCGATCGGCGTGCCCGCGCGCCGACCCCCCGCGCCCCATTGCGACGCCCGTGCCCCGCGGGGAGCTCCACCAGTGGCCCCGGTGGGCGTGCCCGCATAGCGTCCCCACGCCGAACTTAGGAACACCCCTCGCACGCTTCGTGCCCCGCAGGGAGCTTCACACATGGCCTCAATGGGCGTGCTCGCATGTCGTCCAGGCGCCCCATTCCGGCACCCCTTTCACACGCTTTGTGCCAGGCAGGGAGCTTCACCCATGGCCCCCATGGGCGTGCTCGCACGGCGTCCTCGCGCTCATGTTTGCACATTCATCACACGTTGCGTGACCCACAAGGAACTGCACATATGGTCTCAGTGGGCGTCCTCGCAGGGCGTTCGCGCGCTCAGTTCGGCACACCCCTCACACGTTTCGTGCCCGGCAAGAGCTCCATCTCTGGCATCACAGGGCGTGCTTGCCTGATGTCCCCGAGCCAATGTCGGCACGCAGCTTCCTGCTTATAGCTGGGCTTCGTTTCGACAGGGCTGTATCCTTCGACATGCTGACGCTTCTACAGTGTTAGCTCCCGCCTCCTTCCCTCCTCTTTCTCTTGGGCTCAAACGGTCCCACCCTTGAGCCCAAGACGGCAACAGGCATGCGGCGCGCACGCAGCTAAGAAGCGAGGAGAGGGACGCGGGGAGTCTAACTTAGCTTCACCGTTGTGAATCCGAGTTTCCCCCGACCATCAAAACCGATGTCGAGACAGGTCGATCGGATCGAACTGAGCCCCGCCTCCTGCAGAGGCCCGAGCAGGAAGTCCAGCAGGTCCAGCACGTGGGAGCCCACGTCGACGAAGAGGCCGCCGCCCGCTGCCTCTGCGTCGAGGCGCCAGGGCGCCGCCGCACCGGCGCCGACCGCGGGCGGCTTGCGGGGTCGGACGAAAGGGGGAGGGGGATAAAGAGAAGAAGGACGAGGAGAAAGAGTAGGCACAGCGTTCCCAATGGAGGAGTTGGAGGAGTTGGAGGAGGAGGAGGAGGAGGAGGAGGAGGAGGAGGAGGAGGAGGAGGAGGGGGGAGGAGGAGGGGGGAGGAGGAGGAGGGGGGAGGAGCAGAAGGAGGAGGAGGAGGAGGAGGAGACGCACGCGACCGCAGGCCAGGAACGGAAGGAAAGCCCGTCTCGGGGCAATAGCTCCTCCTCCTCCTCCTCCTCCACCTCCTCCTCCTCCTCCCCTCCTCAGGGGAACAAGCCATCAAGGCCAGCCGATCAGGACGTCACGAGGCGGGGCGCCGCTCGCACAGGGCGCCACCGCTCGGGCAATGGCCCGCTGAGGTCCTGGACGTCCCCCCGGCGTCGGGGCCGAGTGCTGGTTTCTCGCAGACGCGGCAGTGCGGCCGCACAAATACTGCCGATGTTGCAAGCCGTGGCATACAGTGCAAGCAAGCAATATCGATGAGCACGGCCAGGGAGAGGAGAGAGGGACGAAAACAAGAAATAACATCCAGCACACGAATTTTACGCTCACAACCCCCAACATGAATGAATTGTGGATGTGTGGGCGAGCAATGCCGACTCACGAAAACGGGGCATTCTATAATTTGACACGTGATGTGCCCTCGCCTGCGTCCGCACGCATGGCAAGACTGCGTGGCCCCGAAGAAAGGATGGGAAGTGCACCGCCATGCACCACCCGTTACTCAACGTCTTGACAAGGCAAGAGAGCTCAGAATCGAATCGATAAGTCGGATCGGCGGTCGAAATCAATCGGATCGGCGGAAAGCGGTACCAGAGTCGGGAAAAGTCGAATCGGCAGAACATCGGCAGGCTAGTATACCTCAACGAGATATCGGAACCCAAGTCGAAACCCCAAATTGAATGGAAGAGGAATCGGAAGCCATCGAAGTCGAATCGAATCGAAACGAGCCCTGCGAGGGCGGACATGGAGCAGGGAGGCAAGAACAAAGCAGGTGGATCCAGGGAGCTAACGAATCCTGTCAGTGGCAACTCCAGCTTGTGAGGCCCTTTGAACGACGATCCCTAACCCTCCGCGCTCCCCCCCCCCCTCTCCCGGCGCAAGGCAGGCGACGGCACGCGCCCGCGGATCAGGCCCGTCGCTCGGCACGCCGGGATCGCAGGGAGGAGGAGGAGGAGGAGGAGGAGGAGGAGGAGGAGGAGGAGGAGGAGGAGGAGGAGGAGGAGGAGGAGGAGGAGGAGGAGGAGGAGGAGGAGGAGGAAGGGGGCTGGGCAATTATCGGTGGCGAGCCCAAGGGGGAATGCAGAGGGGGCGGGCCTTCTCAGAAAGCTCGGAAGTCCTCGAGCCTGCTCAGAAGTGTTCTAAGCGCTCTCCGATGACAGAGACGGCCTCTCAGAAGGCGCGGGGGGCAGTAGGGGGGTTGAGCAAAGCTTTAGGAAGAAGAGCACAGCATTCACATCAACGTTCGGAGCTCCGCGCGGAGTTCTTGCATCTGCGCTGGGCCCCCCTGGCGGCGCCTCCAGCGCTGATCCAGGAAATCCGCGCGGAGCTCCGAAAGTGTTGGTTTGACAGCGGAGGCCAGTTCACAAGAAACCTTCCACAAGAAACCCAACCCTGAGACCCCAGGACGTCCATATTTTATCCATTTGTTGGAACGCCACTCTTTCCATGGCAAAACCATCAAAACCCATGAAACCCAGGGAACCCTGGGTGCAAGCAGGGTGTTCTTGGCGTGGAAAAACCCCCTTTCCCTGTCTCCCCTTCCGTCCAACCCGCGCTCGAGCGGCGGCTGGCTCTTCCGGTAAAGTACCATGGTGACGTCACCGACGGCCCTCTCCTCGTGGAGCAGGCGGCGCAGCCGGTGGAAGCGCGGGTAGGCTCGCCGGTAGTACGCCACGAACAGCGGGACGCCAGCTGCCGCGAACGCGTCTGCCAGCTCCTTCGACTCCCGGTAACTCCTCGCCATCGGCTTCTCCAGGTAGCACGGCTTGCCGCTCGCCGCCACCCGCCGCGCGAGGTCGGCGTGCGCCCCCACTGGCGCCGCGACGTACACCGCATTGACCTCTGCGTCATCGACCAGGCTTTCGGCGTCTGTGTACCAGCGCGCCACCCCGTGCCTTTCCGCGTAGTCCGAGGCCTTGGCACCGTCGCGACGCATGACCGCAACTAAGGAGCTCCCCTCCTGATTGAACGCCAGCGGGCCGCTCTTCTTCTCCGTAACCCCGCCGCAGCCAAGGATCCCCCATTTCAGCTCCGCCATCGCGTTGGCGCGAAGGTGGCCAGGCTTGCCTAGATGTCCAGCAGCAAGTATCAAGTTCCTCCTGGGCGGGCGAGCCAAGTCGGAGACTGTGGGCTGCCACCCCTGCCGCGCGGCGAAAGAATCCAGCAAACGCCTGAAACAGTAGCCCCGACTTGGAATACCAGAGCCGGCGAAGGCCCAATGATTGCAAAGCGCAGCTGAACAAATCAATATTCCAAACACCAAGGACAAGGAATATCGGTGGCAAGCTGCTGCTCGCATGTGCTCGACTGCTTACTGGCAACGGATGGCAACGATCTTGGTAGGAGTTGGAACAGGAGGCGGAGCAAGAACGGACAGGCTACGCAACACAGAAAGCTGGAGCAGGCGAAGCTTACCCTGGACCCCCGGACTGCAACCACAACAGCAGCAGCCACAACACCAACGACAACAATATCAACAGCAACAGAAACAACAACAACAGTAGCCACAACAATAACAACAATCATGTTAATAATGTTCGCTCTTATCTGCTCGTGCGTGACATTCAACATGTGTATCCGAAACCCTCGAAGCCCGCCCTCTTCGTCTTCAATTGTAGCTCCCTGGGGATGTGTATGCATATACACATATCGGAGATTGGGGGGTGAGATCGAAGTGGAACGGAGAGCCCCCCTACCTGGAAATCGATTTCGGTTTCATGTTCGTGCCGTGCGTGCGGGCGAGGCGAAGCTGCGTGGGCGGGGGAGAGGACATTCTCCTGTGGCTGGGCCGCGGCTGGACCAAAAAGTTCTCCGCCCAACAACCGGTGGCGCGCGGTGTCCCGCCGGTGTCCCGCTGGTGTCCCGCTGGTGTCCCGCCGGTGTCCCGTCGTGGCTGGGCCGCGGTCGGACCAAAAGGTTCTCCGCCCGGCAACCGGTGGCGCGCGGTGTCCCGCCAGTGTCCCGCTGGTGTCCCGCTGGTGTCCGGCCAGTGTCCCGTCGTTGTCCCGTGGTGTCCCGTGGTGAGATCGACAGTGAGCTTGATAGTGAGATCGATCGTTAGATCAATGATGAGACCGACAGTGAGATCGATACTGAGATCTATAGTGAGAGATCGACAGTGAGATCTATAGTGAGATCGATCGTGGTATCGATAGTGAGATCGATAGTGAGGTCGATCGAGTGGGATCGATAGCGAGATCGATAGTGGGATGAATAGTGAGATCGAGAGCGAGATCGACAATGAGATCGATAGCGAGATCGATAGTGGGATCGATGGTGAAATGGATCGTGAGATCGACAGTGAGATCGATTGTGTCCCGTCGGTGTCCCATCTGTGTCCCATCGGTGTCCCGTGGTTTCACATGCTGAGATCGATAGTGATGGGTATAGTAGCCCCCTCCCCCCCAACCTCCTTATCACCCGCAGGGTGGTCGTATAGGTAGATACACATCTATGTGATCTTCCTTCCCTGCCACGCGGAGTTGACGCAGCTCCTCAAACAGAGGAAAGGAGGAGGAGGGAGGGGACAAAGGGGAGGGAAAGGATGGAGCACGAGAGAGATTAACAGTAACGGGGGTTAGGAGCACGGAAACAAGCGGCAGAACCAAACGGGCGGGTCGGACGGGCGGACCCTAACGGGCGGTTCGGGCGGGCGGGCCCAGACGGCCGGGTCGAGAGGGCGCGTCGCTGAAGCGTCAGTCCTGCATGAAGTGCGAGACAGTCTCGAGCGATAACGCGATGTCCAAGTAACCAGCGAAGGATTCCACAGCGGGAACGTGATTCCTGAGCGTCCGGGGCGCGGCGTCTTGGGCCGTCTTGGGAGCTTCTTGGGCCGTCTGGGGCCATCTGTGGGCGTCTCGGGGCGTCTGTTGGGGGCCTCATAGGGGTCTCTTGGACCGTCTTGAGATGGTCATGGAGACCTGTTAGCCCGTCTTGGACGCCGTGAAGGCCGAAAGGTCGCATATGCTAAACATACCTGTTTCCCCCGAACAGAATGGGACGCTGTTTTCCTCTTGGAGCTTTCTTTGGGATGGCACTTGGAAACCTCTTGGAACGTTTGAAGGCCTCTTGGACCGTCTAGAGGCCATCTGGAGCGTCTGGGACCCCTCGCTCGGCGGTTCGGTGCCCTCTTGAACCCTCCGAAGGGCCCCGTGGAGCCGCCCTTTTGGTCCATCTTGGAGACCTTTTGGGGCACTCTGGGGCCGTCTTTGGCCCTCCAGGGGTGCTCGCGACACAACCGGCCTGCCGCGCCCCAAATCAAGCCGACACAGTATTCCATGTGTGTATACAGATTTACACACCGCTCGTACGTCATATATATGTACGTATATGTATATATGTGCGCTCATGGTACACACATGTGTTGTGTGTGGAAAGAAAGAGAGAGAGAGAGAGATAATACATAAAAAACGCACAAGGAACTCAACACAAAAAGGATGACATCGATATATATCTACACACCCAAAAGACAAACGAACCATACATGAGCACTGAAAGGAGCACTGAAGGAGTGTGAGAGAGCAAGGGGGAGGGTGTGAGGGTGTGCGAGGGACGACAGGGGATGGAGAGATAATAACACACAAACGTCTATGTATATATATATATATATATGTATATAAATGTGTATATATATATATAAGAGTGAGGGGGCCGAACGGTCATTCACTGTCCCTGGGTGCGTGGCCGAAGTGGAATTCCGCGGTGCGGATTCTCGTTGTTGTTGTTTGTTGTTGTTTGTTGTTGTTTGTTGTCGTCGTCCCACCCGCAACCCGCCCCGCGACCAACCCGCGACCCAACCCGCGACCCACACCGCGACCCACCCGCGACCCACCCGCGACCCACCCGCGACCCACCCCGCGACCCACCCCGCGACCCGCCCCGCGACCCACCCCGCGACCCACCCCGCGACCCACCCCGCGACCCGCCCGCGGCCCACCCCGCGACCCACCCGCGACCCACCTGCGACCCACCCGCGATCCACCCGCGACCCACCCCGCGACCCACCCGCGACCCACTTTCGACCCAAAGCACGTTCAGGGTACAAACCACCAGTTTCGGCGCCTGCGGCGGGCTTTTTTGCACTCCTTCCAGGTGGAGAGCCCGCGACCCACCCCGTGACCAACTCACGACCAACTTGCGACCCAAACCACGTTCAGGGTACAAACCACATTTTTCGGCGCCTGCGGCGGGCATCTTTTGCATTCGTTCCCGGTGGAGAGCCCGCGGCCCACCCGCGACCCAAACCATGTTCAGTGTACAAACCATTTGTTTCGGCGCCTGCGGCGGGCTGCTTTTGCAATCCTTCCAGGTGGAGGTGGAGAGCCCGCGACCCACCCGCGACCTAAACCACGTTCACTGAACAAACCAATGCCGCACAAGCGCGGCGGCGGATTTTTGCATGCCGCCAGAGCCCGCAAGGACCTCTTCAAGCCCCGCGCATCCACACCAGCCCGTCCAGCAAGTTTGTCCTGGCGAGTTGCCTTGATCAGAGAAGGCGGGGAGCATAAAGTGGAAAAAAGGATTGCGTTGCAGTTATCTTGGGGAAAGAGGGGGAGGAAGGAGGAGTACACAGGGGACGAGGAGAACGCGGAAGAGGATGTACGGAGAATGTGGAGAAAGAAAAGGAGGAGGAGCAGGAGGACGAGGAGGGGGAGGAGGGGGAGGAGGAGGACGAGGAGGGGGAGGATGATGATTATGGACGACAATGGGAGGACGATGATGGAGGCCGATGAGGGGGAGGACGACAATGGGAGGACGATGATGAAAGGACGAGGGGGGTCTTATCCGCAATTGCGGGGTGCTACGTATATCAAGACATAGCTGTATGTACATATATATATATATATGTGTGTATATATATTACAAAAAAACAAGGATAAAGAGAGGTAAGTAGGGACATACAGTGCGACCCAGAGAGACAGAGAGAGAGAGAGAGAACCAACACAAAGAAAGAGAGAGACGCCAACGATCACATGCGCACGCAGAAAAGGGCAAATGCACGCAGGAACTCATTGTGCGCGTGCGCGCGCCAGAATCAGCACCCGCGTGAGCTCACCCGAGGGGCGGCGGGGGGGGGGGAAGCCGCCTGCCCGTGAAGCCCCCGCAGCAGCCGCTGGCAGCGGGCGCCCGGGGCGAGGGCGGGGAGGAGAGCTCGGCAACGCTGGGGGCAGGGGGGCAAAGGAAGGGGCCGTCGCCCCGCCCAGTCCTGCACCTCCCCGTCCTCCACCTCCTCTTCCCTCCCCCGCCGCGAGCCCATGCTCGGGGTCGCTCCCCCTGTCCCTTGCACGCCGCACGGGGCTGCCCCCCTCCACGGCTTGAGTCTGTGCCCCTTTCCTCCCCCCTTTCCGCAGCCAGTCTGGACTCAGCTCGGGCGTGCGCGTGGCGCAGGCCAGCATGGCTGGGCCGAGACAGCGCCGCTGCGGGACGCGGGCGCGCGCTTCGGGCTGTGTCAGGGCGGGCAGGGACCACGAGCAACGAACAGAAGGGCGAAGCCAGGAAGAGGACAAGATGTCCGGAAGTGGACGAGCCTGATAAAATACGGGTGTGGATGAGCTGGGATTCTCTGAGGGGCTGGCGGGTCTGATGGACGTGTCGGGCGCCGCGGCCAGACCAGAGCGCCGCAGCCTCATCCCAGGCCTGCTTCAAACATGTGGGGCAGAGGAGGCAGGGCTCACGATCGCGGGCAGGGGCCGCGAGGGCGGAGCGGGCCAGGGATCCATGCCCTCGCGGATACCGATGCGCAACACCCCGCTGATACGCGATCCGCATGGCATCCGCGCAGAGACGCCCTGTATCCACAGGGTCGCAGCTATAGACGAGACGTGCCTGGATCTGGTCATGCCCCCGCTTGTTAGGTGGCAACTACTGGGAGGTCTTCGTCGGAAGGACTAAGGAAGATTAAGCCCAACTGTGGGGCTGCTACACCGGATTAGGCCGCGGATTAAGCGGGATTCGGCGTGATGAACCGGGTTTAAGCTGCAAGCGGGATTAAGCTGGATACAGCCGGACTTCGGACCAGGGCAGAGCCAGAATTTGACCTCCCAGGAGTTGCACCCGAATGCTCGCATCGTGCCGCCGTCGTGCTGCCGTGGTGGACGAGCGACGCGCGAAGCGTCCCGCGGAAGGGGTGCGGACAGACCAGCGGCCTGCGCAGGGCGACCGTGGCCGCCTCAAAAAATCATTCGCGGTGCTGCCCTCGGGTGCTGAGCAAGCCACCCTCCCGTGAATCCCACCACTCCGTGGGACGCACAAAGGCACACCAGTGCTGCAGTGGAGGCCAGTCCACGAGAGACCAAACTCTGAGACACCAGGACGTCCGTGGACTTTTGGTGTGGGAACGTCACGCTCTCCATGGTAGAAACATCGAAACCCAATAAACCCAGGGCACACTGGATGCAAGCAGGGCGTCTCTTGTTGTAGGCCTCCACTGTCTGTATATATGTATACACATATATGAACACATATATGTACATATATATATATATATAGAGAGGCCTCCTATATGGGGTTGGCGTAGATGGAGTCGGAGGATCGCGCCGCATCGCCGATACATCGGCGATGCATCGTCGACGCATCTGCGATGCGTCAGCGATGCATCGGTGATGCACCGGCGATGCATCGTCGACGTCGGCGATGCATCGGCGACGTCGGCGTGGAGAAACTTTGGCCCCACATCGAGCCGCATCGCCGATGCATCGCCGATGCATCGGCGATGCTGCGCGATCCTCTAACACCACCTACTCCGACCCCATCTAGAAGGCCTAGATACAGGCGGATGTGGGGAGAAAGATGGGAAGAAAAACAAAGCCCACAAATATGCAAAAGAGAAGAAAGATAGTCCAAGAATCGTCCCCGTGATATTTTCCGACGATCCTTGAACATTTCCTCCTGTAGAGGGACGTGCCCGACTCGAGCCAACCCCCGAGCGGGCAGGGCTGTCGTGTCGCGCTCGGCCCTCCAGGGACCCAGGCGTGCCCGCACCAAAATCGGCGGCGAGCGAGGCCCCATGAATCCCACCAGGTCCCCACGTTGCCTCCCCCTTCCTCCTCCTCCTCCTCCCTCCTCCTCCTCCTCCTATCCTCTCCTCCTCCTCCTCCCTCCTCCTCCTTCTCCTCCTCCTCCTCCTCTTCCTCCCCTTCCCTCCTCTAGTTCCTCTAGTTCCTAACCTGAGGCGGACCGCTGTGCAGTTCCGCCAACACCCTCAAACTGGGATCACAGCACTTGAGGACAGCCCTCGGCCCGCCAGGAAAGAGAGAGAGCCTGGCACGGGCGGGGCCCCAAGAGCCATGCGCAGCCGCCATTATGGCTCCGCGAGCCCAGGCAATGCTTGCAACTGCGAGGCCCCCCCGCACACAGACCCCGAGGCGCGATTGCCATCGCTCTTCGCGCTGGCCACACGGGCCTTGGGGTCCACACGGGTAGCGGGCACCGTGGCAGCCCGCGAGACGGGAAAAGGGGCGCCCCAGAAAGCCCCGCTCTGGGGCTCCCGACCAGCTCTTACGCGACCCAGGGCCTTCCGAGCCAGCCTGGCCGCGTCGCGGTTCTTCCTGGCCAGGGGAACACACAACTCGGTGGGGAGGTGCGCCTGCCTACGCCCGTAGGCTGCGCACGTCCTACAGAAAACCAGCGTGTCTCCACCCGCCCCAAAGGGCCTGCTCCCAAGAGACCCGTCCCCGCCACGAATCGCCCAGAGCCTGTGGGACGGGTGGGACCTGGCGACCAGCCACGGGAGACCTGGACAGGTGCAGGAAACGACCCTGGCCCTGGTAGCCCTGCGGATCCCGCAGGCCGAGCAACCCCAGGCACGTCCCAGCCTGGCCAGGACGTGCCCCCCCTGTCGGGCCCCACCAGGGCCAGGGTCCCAGGGTCCGAACTCCTGGGCCCAGGCAGAGCTCCACGATCTGGCCTCCCGAGGTCGGCAAGCCTTTTCAGGATCCCCCCGTGGTGGCCGCACCAGGCCTCGGCCTGCAAAACGGCGGCGCCGAAGCGGCGGCTCAGCTCAAGAAGCCGCCCCTGCTGGGGGTGGGGCCGCGCGCCGTCCTTCGCCCTCGCGTCGGCCTCTTTGTTGCCCGCGAAGGCTTGCCAGGGCGCTCCAGCAGCGCTGGCCCTGGCCCACGAGGCGTGCGACGGCAGCCGCCTCAGCGCGAGGAAGCCAGGGCCCAGGTCGTCGAGCAGCAGCCAGATCCGCTCCCACTGGTCCGCGCACTTGCGACCTGGGCCGCAGCAGTAGTCGCGGCCCGCCTCGAAGTCGTCCTTGATCCCCGCGCAGTCGGTGTAGACCGTGATGGGCGATGGGCCGACCTCCTCCAGCGCCCGACACAGCGCGTAGGAGCTCCGCGTAGCCGATCTCTTGGATCCAGCCTGGCGCGAGCCCGTAGGGGTCGCCCCGAACGCCCCCAACCTCGCCAGCCACTACTGCCGCCCAGCCCGCGCGCGTCAGGCACGGGATCTCGGGGCACAGCACGGACCCGTCGACGCAGATGACGCCGTCGAGGTAGCCCTGCCGCGCGCAACCTGCACGGTGGCAGAGCTCATCCGTTCCAGGGGGCGGGGCTTGGTCCAGCCCCAGGTGGGGGAGGCGCCTTCACCAGGCCCAGGTCGTCCTGCGGCGCCCTTCTGCCAGCGCCGCCGACCTCCTGGAAGCCCAGGTCGCGCGCCCAGCAGGCGATGGCGGGGCGCGCGAAGGGCCTGCGATGCGCCGTGCCTGGGAAGCACCCGGCGGGCTGAGCTCCACCCTCTCGTTGTGCAGGTCGGACTGCGTGGCGAGCCCGCCCGCCATGTGCGCCTCCAACAGCGCGGCCCCCTGCGACCGCCAAGGCCGTCCTGAGCGGCTCCAGGTCGGGCGGGCGGCCCTGGAGGTGCTCGAAGCCGACGTGGCTCGCGATCTCCAGCATGAGGTAGCGATGGGCCCCTCCCTCGACGAGGCTGGTCACCATCCGCGGGCTGAGCAGCTGCACGTCAAGAATCTGCCCTCGGTCGTCCCTCCAGCGATGCCAGTCCAGCAGTTTCCAACCAATGCGCCCCAGCGAAAGGCGGACTGCCCCCGCTGGCCCAGTGACCTCGCCCCAGTCTCTCGGTCTGCGCCACCGCGCCTGCTCGAAGACCGCGGAGTGCCGCACACGCAGGAAGACGGCGCGAGCCCACGCCCTCAGCGGGGGGGCGTGCGCCGCGTAGGCTGGGTCGTGCTTCCAGTCCTTGCCCCCCTGCAGGGCGAAAAGCACGGTCCTAGACTTCTGACCGATCTCGCCCGAGATGGCCCTGCCGTTGACCGCGCGGGCGCGCTGCAGGGTCTTCGTGGGTGCACCGCTGACCCTCGCTCCATGGAGCATGGGCGCCAACCCACCTGTCCTGGAAACCTTGGAGAGCCGCTTGGCCCCCGCCGTGCGCAGGGCCGTGTACCGCCCAGCCCTCTGGCCCAGGCGGCTGATCCTCTGGCGTAGCACCTTCCATGAAGACGACCTCGCCATGGTGAAATCCACCCCCAAGTTCTTCGTGGCCTTCACATACGCGAACTTCCAACGCCTGAGCCTGTGGACAGACCGCCTGGCGATCTCGGAGTCGGTGCACAGGACTTGGCCATTCGTCAAGGAGATGGCGAAGCCGATGGCCTCCAGGGCCAGACACAGGGCGCGGGTGGTCCCGACCAAAATATGCTCCAGCTGCGCGCGCTTGGCGTTGACCGCCATCGTGATGTCGTCGACCACCAGGCATGGGCGCACCATCTGCCAGGACGCGAGCATCGCGCCCAACGGCTCGGCCAACACCACTCGAAGCAGCGTCGCGGCGAAGGGGCAGCCCGCCAGCAAAGACAGAACCATCTGGAAAGCCTCCGTCTTCCAGCGGTCCAAACGTAGTCGCCTCCTGCCTCCGTAGAGGCGGAGGAGGATCTTGATCCTCCGCAGCGGGAAGCCCTCCCTCACCGCGGCGTGGACCATCCCTCTGTGAGTGACCCTCTCGTAGGCCTTGCTGAGGTCCAGCAGCGCGGACGCGGCCTCTAAGTTCAGCGCCTTCGCGTGGTCCGCGTCGAAGCTCTGCAGCCACACCGCGTCCTCGCAGGACCTGCCAGCCCCGCCGAAGAAGTAGGGCCTGTCCTTGGCGGCCTCCCAGCTCTTC